GAAGCACTTTTTGGAGCAGTCATCCTTACCGGACACAGTGTTTCCAGGAACCTGTTGGCAAGGGGCAAAAACATTGTGAAACCAGAAGAGATTTTCAAGGCAGAATTAAAGTGTGCAACGTGGCGGCCTTGAAGACGCTAAAGTCTGATCCAGAAAATTGGTTTGTGCCGCACTTTGCTGATGAAAGTAGCAGAGATTGCCTTCTTGAAGCTGGACTCTTAAAACCCTACCTGGAGACAATCCCTTTTTGTCGCAAATAGTCCCAGTAGTATAGAAAGCTAGTTTTGCCGTCCGCTGCACGACCAGCGAGCTCAACCATAGTAAAAACACTTTGTCTTATTTTGATTGTCGCGGCTGCTGATTCATTTTGGCGGAAGGGAAGGCAAGTCAAGTTCGCACAGCATGCATTCAGCCCGTTCGAGGATTGGAGGTGGAATCGGGCCCTTTCCTGGAGAAAGCTCTGGAAGCGATGTCGGCGGAAAACCTCATGTATGCCACAGCATCCGAGGAGCTGCCGGAAGTGCCATCTGTATCCAAAAAACAGAAGCCGTCCCCCGAAGCGCCTTTGGACAACGAGTCCAGCAGCAATCGGAGCTAGGGAGGGCTTCCTTTTCTGAAAAAGTGCCAAATACTGGGAAGAAAGAAAAGTGCTTTCCTAGCGGCCCGGGAAAAGAACAGAAAATCAAGTTCTTCAAGTGGCGTCGAGATTTTGTTGAAGCATGCGCTGGCCGGAGAGCAGACCGAGGTTTCTGCTGCCAACATCAATGCCCTCATCTGAATGGAACTGCTGAAGACTTTACAAAGCAATGATCGGAAACGCAGTCGGGCCAGCAGTGTGGCTGGAAGCAACTGCAGCGAAGAAATTTCACTGGAATCTTCGACCAGCCATGGGAAAAAGGAGGGTGCCCGCCGGGCGCTTCGGGCATACAGGGAGGGGCACCGCGAGATGCGCCGCAATCTGCGAAAACATGTGAGGCGATTTGTGCAGCATAGCATTCCCACCCAGGTGGTCACCTTCCCACCGTTTGTGCCTTGAAATAACAGCAGCTTTTGATTCAAGCTCACTTCGCATTTTCTTCAGTTTTCCTCATGCTGGCTGGTGCCTTGGCCGATTTGACAGCTTTCATATCCATCTCCATCGCCTTTATGAATACGGTGGAGACCGCGGGCAGGGTCCTAGTCTTTGAGACCATCACTGGTCTCCGAGCTATTCTCGAACAAGTTGGTACCCCTTTGTAACGTACCTCCAAAGGTTCTACAAGCTTTGGACGGCTATGGCCCACAGCCTTGCTCTGCTCGAACATATGCATTTTCCGACACTTTCTCAAGAAACCAGGGTACATTTTATACCGCAGCCTCGAAGCCTTGTTGGTTTGTTGGAGCCAGAATTTGTGCAACATCTGCACAAAGTGCAATGAGCTTTGGAAGCAGTCAAATCCTTTGACTCCCGGTTCCGCCTGCATTACTCTGATACCCTGCACCATGACACGGCGGTTTGGATCTTCATGCTGCGGCTCAACCCCCTGGTCCCCCTCAGCGACTTGAGGAATACAGTACTGACATGGAACCACTCCATCTTGCCGATGGGGAAATGAAGGATCGACTTTGGAAATGATGCTTTGACTTACGCAGAGTCAATGTGGGATGTATTTCTTTTTGATGGGCGAAGGTTTGGCCAACTGGCCTCCATGGAAATCGGATTGGACTTTTGCATTCCCCAGTCGCAGAAAAGTGTTCCAGAGCATCGTCAGCTTCAGCCGTCAGTTTGAGTTTTCTTTTCTGTTTTTACGTTGGTTCAGTTTCCGCGTATCCCCGAGCAATAGGCAGGAAGTTAGGACTTCTCATGGCAGTTTCCTTTAAGGTGATTTAAGGCCTTGATACTTGAAGGCATCACAGATGAAATAGTTTATCAGCTTGAGTTTGCCGTCCGCCAAGCTTTGCCAGAGGAGTTGGCATGGGGTGACCTTGCGAAATCACCAAGTACTGTGATCTCACATATCTTGTCCGCCTCCACTGGAGCCGCCGTTGCCTTGCTCACTTCGGCTCTGCAAGCGCGTAGACAAATACAGGGCAGCTGTAGCCCGCCTTTCCATGGTGCTTGATTCTTGCCGCCGCCGCCCCTCCGCACCCCATTGGTGGGTTTGGCATTTGGGCCTTTGCCCTTGTGTATCCTTCTATTTGCGCATGCAAGCCGGCTTTGATTGCAGATTGAAATTCAATTGGGGCCTCCTCCGCCCCCACCACCACCTTTGATTTTCTTGCTTCGCATTTGGGCGTTTGGCCTTGTGTATCCTTCTATTTGCGCATGCAAGCTGGCTTTGATTGCAGATTGAAGTTTACCATTTGCTATTGCACGCGTCCGTTTGCACTCACCAACCTCTTGAAGCCCTGATTGCATGCCCTGAAAAAGGCTGAAATCTGAGGTGCTTGAGTGGGGATTGGCGAAGGGGATCTCATTGAACTGAAGTGTTATATATATATGTATAAATGTATGTATATATTTGTACACACAGTGTATTCCTTGTAAAAACATCGCCACATCCAGGAGAAGATTTCTTCTTGTGCTTCCAAACTCTCAGGTTTCATATCTCATGACAGGGTTTGACAACACTGAGGATATCTCCAGTTTTGGAGTTCTCACAAGTGCCTATGCACTGAGCAAGCAGTGGTGGAAGGCGGCTTTGGGAATTTCCTTGGTGTGGCTTGAGTATGATGTTGAACTGAATACAACTTGATGTGTTGGTGAGTATCACAATCCATTATGGGAATCTTTATCAACCAATCATTACAAGAGAATTTTGATACTCCCTTATAGTGGTTGGTTCATCTTGTGGTTATCATATTTATGGGAATCTCTATTCACCAACCATGGTTGGTATGATTTTCTAATTGTTTCTTTGGATATCTTTTGTTGCCCGGAACTCAAGTAGAAAAAACTTTTCACGGGTTTGGGTAGGGGGTTTAATTATATAATTTGCACGTAAAAACCATATACCATTTTGTTTATTTTGACTGTGGGGCATCCAAATGTTGGGGAGTGGCCTAAATTTTGACTGAAAAACATGTGGGATTGTCTCTAAATATTGGAACCCCAAATTGGAGCTGGTGCCCCCACAGTCATACGTTGGATTGCTATATGTATATGTAATATATATATATATACCGTAACGTAACTCCCAGTTATTTAGTTGCAAACCAACTTACCTAGCTATGGGGCCTCACCCTGGGTGTCAGATCTTGAAAAACTATCCATTCACCTGCTATTTTAATCTATTTTAGGGGTACCTAGTATACCCGGCTTTTGACCCAAAAACATTTTGGGATTATTCACTTTTCGTTATCAGGTGATCCCATGCCCCTCATAGTGAACAATTCCAGATGAACCTCAAAATGAATAGATTCAATATTAAACTGGACTTCGAGGGCAGGTGTCTATTTCTTAGGGTTTGTCTGCGAATCGGGTATCCGAAAATATCCGAAAATACCATGGATTACAAGGACAAGTTTCCCACTATCGCCATGAGGGGGGGGTATGTTGAGGCGTTGCACTCGCTGCTGCTGTCACCTGCATTGGACCAGCTCTCCTTCAATGTGCCCTGGCATTCGAAGCTGCTCCATGGATTCCCTGGGTAGACACGACCAAGATCTGTGTCCCTTGGGTATGAGGGAATTGGATGGAATTGGTTGTTTTTTTTCCATTGCTCTGGCCCCATGCTTTAAAACTCTACATGATTCAATTTACTGGGAAGATCGGTTATCTTCAAGTAGTGTTGCATTTATTTGACCCATCGACGTCTAGACCCATGATTTGTGGTATTCCCATGTATTAGCCCACTAGCAGCAACTCATTATCCACACATAAAATAGCAACCCAGGCACCCAATGCTATCCTTTGGAGGATCAATGGTGGGAGAACCGTTGAGAACCCAGGCATTTAGCTCGAGGCTCCCTTGGTCTTGGGCTCTTCGCAGCCTGGAGTTGATGTCGACGCAGCAGATCAGAAGGGATAGCACGAATCACAACAGTGTCATCAGCGCATGCGAGAAATCTGGCACTTGGAGCACTTGGATCCTTGCACTGCAGTGTTTGGCACAGCTACCTGAAGATGCGTTGCTGGGCTCTATTTTTCGGGGTTTTGTGCCAAACTGTTGTTGTTGGAGAGTTGATCTGATTTTTGCGTTTTGTTTTTTTTTGAGACGCGACGAAATTTCGATCAAGGATCGAATTTGACGTTTTTTTTTTTCCAGATTCGATTGGGACATATTCGGACCAACAAATCCACCTAGCCCAGGGTTCAAGTTCTGGAGGGAAGCAACAGCAAGGTTGATTCCCGATGTCATCACCTACAATGCGAGCATCAGTGCTTGTCAGAAGGCTGGAACAGCTTGGACAGCAGGACGCCCAATGTTCACGGACAGCATAGTCCTGGCTTTCGTTAGGAGATCTTCCTTTTCCCAATGGAAAAGTCACCATTTGGCGAGCCGATAGGGAATATTTTTTTGGGGGGGGTTCTTAAGCATATCCGTTTAGTTGAAAACCTGGAAATGATGAGCTGAACCTTATCATGTTTCCATCCTGGAAAAAACATGCCGAAACTGTTCTATCTATATAGTCCCTTTCCGCTAATGATAGACACCGCGGAGCGGTCATGGATTTGTTCATTTGGCATCCCTTTTCCCAGAAGGTCTATGTAATTTGCTATATACTTTATAGCAAGCATTGTAGTGGCACATAATCTGGTAGCTTCAAAGCTGTAAAACAAATCAGCGTCCTTGTTTTGGACATACAGATCTATGCCGAACATGAATGAACATTTCTCAACCATCAATGGAGCAGTGGCTGCTAAAGCCCCTGTTGCTGATTTTGATTGGGGAATTGTCCTCATCCATGAGCTCAACAAAAACATTAAATCTATTGAGACATCATAAGCAACGAGTATTTCATGGCTGAAAAAATCTCTCAACCCTACTTGGAGGTGTAGGGGGGGCCCAAATCCCAACTTATGGGGCTTAAGATCACCCCAACCACACCCCTGCCCCCAAGTACTAAAGTTAAGTGCTATGCCCGGATCCCATCCTACTATTATATTTTAGTAAATAGTTCTCATTATGACGTTCATAATCTCAGTCGCAATCTCCACAACAGCAAGTAAGTAGAATACCATCCGGCAAAGCAACGTAGCTATGGAAGGAAAATCATTTTTAGTAGCAAATATCTAACTATTTTCATGGGGCCATGGCTTAACCCCCATGAAATCACCATTTGTTGATGATGTTGATGGTTACAGCACCAGGCGTACCATGGCTGGCGCTACACCTTGGTACTTCTGAATCGCTGTCCGAAGCCCGACCTGCTCACTTTCAACGGAAGCCTCGGCCGGGTGCGCTGGATGCATGGACTGCAGCTGTTGCAGGAGATGAAAAATGGCGAAGTGCAGCCGGAGTCTCAACAGATTCTGGCAATCCCCATGGGACCGTCCATATAACCTGGACATGTCACTGAAATGGGGGTTTAGGGCGGCCCGCTGAATTCTTGAATGGATATGATCGTGATCTATACAGAACACATGGTTTTCTTAGATGATTTTTAGCTGAATTTTAGGATTGAAACGAAACTCTGCAATTATTAGCCGGCAAATATGGTTGAACACATGGAGATGTTCGTTGCGAATCATGTGACCCAGAAACCATTTGATACTTAGGAGGATGGGATTAAGGGATCCGCAACCATAGTCACATCCCCAATAGTTGTGGCTTAGGACATTTTATGTATACTGTAGTTGCCCTTACCAGATGCTTTATAATAGCCGAGGGCCTCTTATGGATCGCACACTACTGGGGTCTGAGAAAATTCCTTTAGTTGGAACATTTTGGGTATTTTGTGTGAGATACGCGATCACAAACATGGAGTTAAAATGGGTTAAACCTGTTTTCAAACTCTCAAATTAGTTGAGAAGAACAGTTGGCAAGGCTGGCAAGGTGGTCAGAACTAAAGATCTCTACCAGCATGCCAGTTGGAGGCCATATACGAATCGCAAACCAGTTGCGCGTGGTTAGGAGCGGCAAGAAATGGGATGATTCTCTCCAGCGACTCATGCTTATTTTGGGGTTCCAGAATCTCCTGCTCCCCTAGCGCCAAGGATTCCTTCTCCTTGAGTACACTGATTGATAGCTGTGGCCACGAGTGGCCGGTGGCCTTGACCTTGTCCCAGAGGTTTCAGGGTCTTCAGAACCGGGTGAGTTTCTTGCCTCCAACAAGTTTACCATGGGTTAAACGTAGAAAAAGATTTGGAAAACCCATGGGAAAATTATCTACATTCATGGTGGAGAAAGCCGCATCTATGTAAGTTTACAGGAGGGTCACCACTTATTGCTTTGCATTTTTCTTGGGAAGGGCTGTTCTTGGCCGGTCTTTGGCTCAACGCCAGGCATGATGGTTTCTTGCCCCATGTTCTAAGAGATCTGTGATTCAATTCAACCTGGTGGTAAACCTTTGGGATAAGGGATCAACCCATGATCAAAGCTGAGCTTCTAGACGGGCCAAACCTTGGCTAATCCCCGAAAACATGGTATCATAGGTTTTGATTCGACCCATCCCCACAGCCCTGTTGGGCCCAAAGATGTTGCCAAGCAAGACCAGATTCTTCCAGGAATCTGAACCCTCACCCATCCCCACAGTGCTCATTTCCAGGTTCAAATGCATCCATCACCGCTTGCACCCTTGGGATCCAATGGGAGAGAGCTTTGTGGCTCCTGTTCTCCAAATCTGGTGAAAAAGTTCCTGATCTCATCGCGTTCAGTTCGGCAATCACAGCATGTCAGCGAGTGTCGAAGTGGCGTCAAGCCATGTACTTGTTCACATTCCTGTCCCACATCAACATCTCACCCGATGCGATTTGCTTCTATGGAGCCTCTAGGCTTTTCATTTTCGACCGCACAGGGAATCGATTGGGAAGCCAAAGCAGCACAATCTATATGGTAGTTGAACAAGTCCTTGTAAAAATTGTGAAGAACTATGATTGCCACGACCGTTTATGTCATTTCAAACTCTCACGAAATTTGCTCTTCGACTTTGCGAAAGTAACATTTTGTTGCGCGAGTGTTAGATAGAATGAACCATCATTGTACACACGGGCACACACACACATGCATAATATTTTCACGACAGTTTCGCAAAAGTTACGCGAAGGAGCAGGTGAGAGTGAAACTGTTTTTTGAAGGGTTTGGCCAAGTAAGCCTTACAATACAATTAAATACGAATTCAATAATCACCGGAAGTTTAGTTCGAAGACTTCAGAGTTACGGACGAATGTCCAGGGGCAGGCTTGTCATCATGTCATCATCATCATCATCATCATCAAGTATAATTCATCATGTCATCGTTAAGTAACCATCATGTCAGCATCATGAGTAATTAAGAGCCGTTCATGTGCAGGAGCAGTAGGGAAGAGTAAGCGTTCAAAACGCCTCAAGTCACGGGCGAAAACACTCTCGGGCGCGAAACGTCTCTGTTTCCGCGGGTGTACGAGACTGCAGCGAGAGTACGCGTGGCGCTTTTGGCAGGTCAGGTCGGCAAAACGTGCACCAGACTATAGTGAGAGCTTGATTTTACATAAAATCGCAAGAAATGGCACTTTCGGAGCAGCGCGGAACTGTTACATGCTGCGCGAATGTTGACCGACTTGGTGCGACGCTCATGCTGTGCGGGTTTGATGGGACAAAACGCAGTGGCACGGCTGCCTGACGGATGCCGCGACGCTCCTGGCAAGCGAGTTTGTTAAAAGCATCGTAACAGCTGCGCGAAGGTAGTTGTTTATAGTTTTATTAGTTTTTGACCATGATGCGGAATTGCAGCTGGACGTTGCCAAACGCTCTTTGCTGATTGCGCGAAGAATTTGGTTGCAGAAGCGACAGAAGAGGTAGCTGTGTGGCAGCCCAGGGCAGCAGTAGCCCAGATAAGTAAGTGGCTGGTTGGAGAAGTAGCTGAGAGAAGAGGTGCCTCAGCGAAGAGGTCGCTCAGTGAACCAGTAGCTCAACAAAGAAAAGTAGCCACTCATCCATTCATCCATCCACCCACCCATCAATTCATTCATTCGCTCATTCATTCATGCATGCGCGCATGCATGCATCCATTCAGTCACTCATTCACTCACTTGCTCGCTCATTCCACTCATTTCACTTCACTTCACTTTATTTCCTTTCACTCACTCACTGACTCACTGGCTGATTCAGTGGTTCATTGGTTTTCAAGATTCACTGATTCATTGGTTCAATGTTTGGTTCACTGACTCACTGACTCATTGGTTCATTGATTCATTGATATGTTGGTTCGCGGATTCATTGCTTCACTGAATCGTTGATTCATTGGTTCACTGATTCAGTGATTCAATGGTTCACTGATTCACTGGTTCTTTGACTTATTGGTTCATTGATTGGTTGATTCACTGAATCATTGGTTCATTTGGTTGGCTGATTCAATGATTCATTGGTTCGTTTTCCATTGTTTGTTGATTCATTGATTCGTTCATTCATTGACTCATTGCTTCGTTGATTCAACGATTTATTTTGGGTTTATTGTTTGATTGACTCATTGATTCATTGATTTCTTGATTCAGTGCTTTCTTGGTTCATTGATTTGCTGATTTATTGACTCATTGATTCGTTGATCCGTCGAGTCATTGACTCATTGCTTCGTTGCTTCATTGGTTCATTGTTTCACTGACTCACTACTTCATTCATTAGTTGATTTATTGATTCATTGCTTCGTTGCTTCCTTGCTTCATTGGTTTGCTGATACCTTGATTCATTGATTGATTGATTCATCGTCTGACTGTTCATTGCTTCGTTCCTTCATCAATTCTATGACTCATCGGTTCATTGATTCACAAATTCATTGGTGCACCCCACAACTAGAACACCTTGTTGCTTCTGCACCAAGACTTTCCTGTAGACCATCTTCTTCCTGTAGTGCTTTCCAATGTTCGAAACTTCCGCCCCAGCGGGTGCCGGGGACTATCTGGTAATCATTGATCATTGTATATATAATGTCTGACATATATAAATATACTCAATGCGCAACCATGTGTCCTGAGAAGGGATTCTGTGATGCTACCTGCATATTGATATGGTAATTCAGAAGTAATCTTTGACGACTGAGTCTTCAAGAGGCATTGTTGACCCACATGGGCCGCGCGAAAAATTAAGATGGAATTTGCCAAAATTTCGGGAAAGTACAATTTTATTTTCGCGGGGAATGGTGGTTTCCGAATGTGAATATACTTAGATCAAATACAATATACTATACACATTTTGTGTTTATGCATATTTGCATATACATATTTTATGCATTTATTATATAGTAAATAGTACTATGAACGCATATACTGCTCTGAATATTGAGTTGCGCCATCTATGTCAAAGGCAAAATGCAGGGGATAGATGGCGCAACTGCATTTTCAAGCAAGTAGTTCGCGCCATGTCTGTCCCTAGAAATGACCTATTTTTTTGCAATCTGCTGCGCTGGACTACACCCATTTTTTTTCCTCAACATCAAGCTGCCTTTGGGAAATCAGAAATGGTGGGTTTATGGTATGTAAACCTTTTCATCTTTATTGTCGAAGGAAGTTTAGAAGTGAAACTTCCGACAATATGGACAGTTGAAAAGCAGAGGTGAGAAGAGTCAGAAGAGAAAGAGTAAGAGGACAGAAGATACAGATGCGCGAAAAGGTAGGAAAGTCGCGAAACACTGTGTTTTTCCAATGATTTGTGGCTCCGGAGGGTCGAAAAGTAGGCTCGCTAAAGCGGCGGGTGCGGAGCCAGCTGGCCAGATGAGAGATGAAAAGTTGCACGCCGTTGTGGCGCGAAGCACATTTCGAAGTCAAAATGTACAAAACTCACCATTGTCGGAACACTTTTGGAAGTTGAGATGTCGAAAAAGTGCACGCGGTTGTGGCGCGAAGCACATTTCCAAGTCAAAATGTACAAAACACACCAGGTTCGGACCACTTTTGGAAGTTGCGATGTCGAAAAAGTGCACGCCGCTGTGGCGCGAAGCACATTTCCAAGTCAAAAGTGTTAAAAACTGACGGTCTCGGACCACTTTTTGAAGTTCAGATGTCGAAAAAGTGCACGCCGTTGTGGCGCGAAGCACATTTCGAAGTCAAAATGTTAAAAAAAATAGGGGTTTGGACCACTTTTGGAGGTTCAGATGTGCTTCCCTTCGCTTCGCTTAACTACACTACACTACATTACACTCCACTGCACTACATTACACTACACTACACTCCACAACACTACAACTACAACTACACAACTACACTCCACTACACTCCACTACACTAAATTACACTCCACTACACTACATTACACTACACTACACTTCACTACATTGCACTACACTACACTCCACTACACTACACTACAACTACACAACTACACTCCACTACACTCCACTACACTCCACTACACTAAATTACACTCCACTACACTCCACTACACTACACTACATTACACTACACTACCCTCCACTACACTTCACTACAACTACAACTACAACTACACAACTACACAACTACACTCCACTACACTCCACTACACTCCACTACACACCATTACACTAAATTACATTACACTACACTCCACTACACTAAATTACACTACACTTCACTACATTACACTACACTACACCGCACCACATTTCACTACACTACCTTCCATTACACTTCACTACATTACACTACACTACACTCCACTACACTACAACTACAACTACAACTACACAACTACACTCCACTACACGCCACTACACTAAATTACACTACACTACACTACATTCCACTACACTCCACTACACCACACTACATTGCACTACACTACATTACACTGAATGACACTGCACCACAGATAGACAGGTAGACAGATAGATAGACAGACAGATAGGCAGCTAGACAGCTAGACAGATGAAGGAGAGAGAGAGAGAGAGAGAGAGAGAGACAGAGAAATAGATAGATAGATAGATAGATAGATAGATAGATAGATAGATAGATAGATAGATAGATAGATAGATAGATAGATAGGTAAATAGGTAATTAGATGAAAGAGAGAGAGAGATAGATAGATAGATAGATCGATAGATAGATAGATACATAGCTAGATAGATAGGTAGGTAGGTAGATAGTCAGAGAAAGAGTGAGAGAGATCAATCGTCTTTCGATCCATCAGTGGCTTCGCTCTGCCATCCCTGATTCACAACAACCAATCTCTCCTATAGGTTTCCTATTTTTGAAACTTCCGCCACCGCCTTGTGCGGTACTACTGGTATACTTAATTTCATTTTGAATTATTGAAAATAAGGTACGACCTAAGAAATAACTTAAATTGGTCATATATATGTATATATATATATATATACAGTACATAGAATACAATACAAACATGTGTAATGTACAGTATAAACAAACAAACATGATCGAACATGTAGTAAACTTAGTAAATCATACCCTTATGTCCACCTACTGGGGTGGCAGTAGCGCCATCTACCTTTTCATTTTAAAGTAAATTGGTTATCCAATATGCGCTATTTTGGGGCGATTTTTCTTCAATTGGATCTTTGACGCAGCCCGCATAGATGGCGCAACGCGTTTTATGTTCCAGCCAAAATAATGCCGTTTTCTTCCTCACCGCGCGGTGCCATCTTGTAGATTATTTGTATTAGTTTAATTATTTCATGATCTCTGGGGCTCACGGAAATGCATCCCTAGGCTTTGTCATCATGCGCCAACGTTCACAAATGGCAAAGTACACTGGATCTTCTTGAGCACATGACGGTGAAAAGGTTGCGTCACTCAAGCATCAGTCACGCAGCAGCAGCGGTTGCATGCGAACAAACTGGACAGTGGCAGATCGTCTTGAACAATTTTTCCTGCGTTTCGACAGATGTCGATGTCATCGGTTGGAACGCCGTGGCAAATGCGAGCCAAAATGGGCAGCAGTGGAAATTGGCAGTCAAGACACAAGACTTGATTGGCCGATTGGCCCTCAGAGATGTTGAACTGCTGCTGAAAACGATTTGGAATACCCTCAGGTAATCAGCTCCGTGGCAATGGACAATCCTCCATTTAGAGTTGACTATCCCGTTAACACCTCTTTATTCGTTGGGGATTTTTTCCATCGCCGCGTCTGATTACCGTTATCGTCACGTGACACTGAACATCCGGTAATGAATCGCAGTTAAGTCCACTGGTTGGTCATGTCCCTCTAAGTATTGCCATAAGTGAGGGGGTATACATCCCGCCGTTTTCAAACAGGTCCATGTTATTTCTTAACTTCCAAGGGAGCAGCTGCGCAGCTGCACTTTGCAGACATTGTCGCATGTCCAGCCATTCTCTTTGCATTCCAATGCTGCATGGGCTGAACTGCTCAAAAGCCACAAACGGTTCAAACCCAGCTCAGCGCACACCAAAGAAGAGGCCCTGAACTCAACTTCAGGAATAGTGAACCCCCAGGGCACCAATTTCAATAATCTTTATAGTAATTCATATAATGCAATTTACTAGTATTCTGGGGATAACCCCCCAATTGGTGGCCAGGGTTTCTTAATCTGGGGGAGACATTGGAGTCCAAATCTTCAAGTTTCTTGGGGAATTCTCATATGATAGATATGATAGACATGATAGAGACAACAAATGAGGAAACATCAAACATGGCTTTAAGATGCTTTATGTATCTTTATGTCATGTTTCAGATTGAGGACACATCCTTTGCTCTTTTGATCTGTGATGCAAATGACCTGTGGTATCTTCATTCGGTTAAACTCCCAGTTGACGGGTGAAGTGCAAGCACAGCCGATGTTAGTAGCTGACCCCTACAAGTAACATCCGGATATTTTAGACCCTCATGCACTTCATGAATTCGAACCGGGATCAGCCCCAGAGAGTTTTGAAATGTTATATAGTACTTCATAGTACTTCCTTTTTCGTAACCTGAAGTCCATAGACTTGGAACGTTTGGGAGCCTTGTCTCATTTGACTGTAAAGGTCCCATCAATCCCAGTAATGCCATGAACGTGGTAAACCCAATGCCTTTCACCATCCCCAAAATCACTATTTGTAAGGCTTGTAATAGTCACCGTTCCCAAATGTTGAGTTTATTGTTGGGTTTACCACACCAATCCACATGAATTGCATGAACTACCTCAGGATGGTGTTTCGGATCGCTGCAAAGGCGATCCTAAACACCATCGAGGTCGGTGTCACGTGATGCCTTTGGTCACTGTCTTCACTGACGTGGATGGCCTCGTTGCAAAGAAGCAGGAGGTGCCGAATTCTCTTCAGTGGAGATTCTGAGGGAGCTTTGAATAGGAGAATGGGTGATGATGTTTCTATCAAATTGCCAAATCGGAGGAACGCTGGAGATTTTTCGGGAGAATGCTTGATTTAATCATGAATCCGGATTTCCGGATTTCGACTTTCCAAGCTTCTGTTTGAAATTCTATCTAACAACCATCTAAGATTACGCTGGGCTGAGACGCTGGCCTTCAGTTATACGTATATATATTTGAGGAAAAAGGTGTACCCCCCTAAATGTTCATCAATTTTCCACCAACAATCTGGGCAAATGATATGGCATGATATGGCGTCAAGGTGCGGATGCTAAGCGTGCGGAAGCAGAGGAATCATTACAATTTCGAGAATCTTTAGGCATAGAGAGAGAAAGAGAGATCATGCACAGATATTATTACTTATTCCTACTTAGTAAGGGCTATACATCTTTGAATTGAATGGTTTGCCCAAGGTTTTTACTCATGATATAGAAAAGTAAAAAGTCTTTTGTCTGATATTGTTGACGTAGGCGATGACAGCGCAACTATATATTTTGGTAGATTTTATCAAAAGCAAGCTTGGATGATGCTTGGGCAGAGATTGATAAAAGCAAATTGGCATCTTGTTACGGGAAAATGCCTTTTTACAGTCAGTTTTAAATGATCTTGTAAGTGATGAGTTGCATTGGGATGTATATACCACTTCCTTATGGCATTTGATTTATCAAAACCGGGTATTTCGTCTGTAGAAGACCTAGAGAAAATATCACGAAAAGCAATTGAGAGTCCGACCAGTATATATATAGCTAGGCCTCGGAGTGGCCGCTTACCAAATACTGACCATATACTTACCATATACTTACCATATACTTACCATTTACTTACCATATACTTGCCATACTTACCATATACTTACCATATACTTACCATATACTTACTATATACTTACCATATACTTACTATATACTTACCATATACTTGCCATATACTTACCATATACTTACCATATACTTGCCATATACTGACCATATACTTACTATATACTTACCATATACTTACCATTTACTTACCATATACTTGCCATACTTACCATATACTTACCATATACTTACCATATACTTACCATATACTTAGCATATACTTAGCATATACTTAGCATATACTTAGCATATACTTAGCATATACTTACCATATATTTACCATATACTTACCATACATGCATACATACATACATACATACAGACATACATACAGACATACATACAAACAGATGTACAAACAGATATACAGACAGATATACAGACAGACATACAGACAGACAGACAGACACATAGACAGACAGATAGATAGATAGATAGATCGATCGATAGATAGATAGACAGACAGACAGACAGACAAGTGCGTGCGTGCGTGCGTGCATACAGACAGACAGACAGACAGACAGACAGACAGACAGACAGACAGAGAGACAGAGAGACAGAGAGACAGAGAGACAGAGAGACAGAGAGACAGAGAGACAGACAGACAGAGAGACAGAGAGACAGAGAGACAGAGAGACAGAGAGACAGAGAGACAGAGAGACAGACAGACAGACAGACAGCCAGCCAGCCAGCCAGCCAGCCACCCAGCCAGCCAGCCAGCCAGCCAGACAGACACACACTGTGGGATACACACATACATACATGCATACATACATGCATGCATGCACACATACATACATGCATACATGCATGCATGCATGCATACATACATCCAAAGATACATCCAAAGATACATACAAAGATACATACAAAGATACATACAAAGATACATACAAAGATACATACAAAGATACATGCAAAGATACATGTTAATCTGGTTCAGCACTCTCTCGGCCCTTTTCACTTGGTTCCACAGGGCTTTGGTGCATAAAGTAGCCGCGTTCTACGCGGAAGTTCGGCTGGCCAGCCAAAAAACGTGATCAGCTGTCACAACAGCAGATGGGAGGAGGGAACGGGGCAGCAACTTGCGCACCCATGAACATGCCCAGTCATGTTAATCTGGTTCAGCACTCTCTCGGCCCTTTTCACTTGGTTCCACAGGGCTTTGGTGCATAAAGTAGCCGCGTTCTACGCGGAAGTTCGGCTGGCCAGCCAAAAAACGTGATCAGCTGTCACAACAGCAGATCCACTTTTCACCCGGGCCTACAGCAAAGCATTAAGTTGACAACTTAGGTGCACGGCTGTGCGCTGCGGGGCCTCGTTGGGCGAGGAACAACGGCAACAAGTCCCTAAGTAACTGCACTCGTTGTCTGACAGAAGGTTGCAAAGCTGGAAGAATTGACATGGCTGTCGTTTCTTGCAAATAAAAAGAAAGTGTTTTGACGTTCTGCAGTCTCATCCTCCAAAGTAAGTCGGCTATGGGCATGCCTCGTCGATGGCAGGCCACCGCTCCCCCTCCTCTTAGGGAACCCGGGGTGAGTCGATGCTGAGGGCCCACTCCTATCTTTGCTAAGGTCGCATCCCATCGGCGCCTGAAAGCAGACGGCGAACCACCATAGAGCAAATCATTGGGCTGCAGTTCCTGCCAAACTGAAACCAGAAATTGAACTACGGAAGGCTCGCTAATAGTGGCATACTGCGTCGAAGCTCCACGGCGCCTGGTCTTGGGAAGCAAAATGCGAACATAAATGACTTCATCTTCACAGAGAAGATCATGCGGCGTCAAAACATCTTTCCTTCGAGCAGATAGAAACTCACCTATTCTGCAGATTGCATAAAAACACCCTAAGAGCGAAGCAGCCCAGCGGTCCCACTTCCAAGCTAATGCCAAAGTAGTCATAGCTTGTAATAATGGCTCCGGCAGTGGCGGCCTGTGCTGCACAGGTTCCAGCAACTCCCATTTGGTCACGAGCTGCCAGGCAATGGCCATAAATGGCCGCAGTTGCAGGTGAATCTTCTGAAAATGCGCTAAAAGCTGCCTATAGTAGTGCAAAGGCACGCTTGCTGCAAAACAGTGATGGCCGAAAGCGACCAGAGCTGAGACTGCTAGGCCAGGCACTCGAGCTGACCATTCCACAAAGCAGGCTCCACCACAATTGGATTCAAACCAGTCGAAAAACTGAGTCAGCATGCGGTGCCGAACCGCAATAGTGGCGGGTTCTAACAGCTCTGCCCGCGCCAAATCTTCCGGGGCCCGGTCAGGTACACCACGTCGTGGTCCAGGATTGGCAGCCTCTCCAATCCGAGCATGCGTGACTTTTGCACATGCAGCTACATCAACTTTCCCGCATTTGCCAAAGAAACCTGCGTCGCGCAGCAAACCAGAAGCCAAAGCAAAACAAACTAGTCTTGGGTACGGCTCAGCCAACTTCGTAAAGTTTACTCCAGTATGCTTGCACTTTCCCCGCAACTGTATGTGCGGCTTTTGGCAACGGCAAAACACGCTTTGCCCTCTCAGGTGTGAGTTCGTCCGGAACCGAGTCCGCTTCCTCCAGCGGGTTCCGAATCTGCAGTAGTCAAGGCGAAGATCGCCTATTTTCCCCGTTCTCAAAGCAGGATCCCAAGCTAAGCTACCTCTCTGGCGCCACATCCATGAGCCATCTGGGTTTTCTACAAAGAAAATTACGCCAACCGCTAAGCAGATCGGAATCAGGCTAAGCACAAAGCGCAGCATCTCATTGCCCAGCTCGTTCTTCAACTTCTGCTTCTCTGAACACCAGGGCACGCCCTCCGGGTGCTGCTTCGAGTGACACGGAGGCGTGATAGCAGTGCTGAATGAGCAGCAAACGGGTGCCGCTCCCATGGCTCGGAAGGCTTTAAGTCTGAGTAACTTAGTGATCTTACTTTGGAGGGGACCCTGCAGCAAGTCCTCGTTGACGTTGTGGGCAATGTCAAAGGTGAGGACTCAAGTCTCTGCCATCTGCACGCAAGCACGAGCAAAACCTCTGGACCCTGAAAACAAATCTAGCACTCCTGCGCCACTTTGCAGAGCATCCTCAAGCGAAGCAAACCTCTGGTGCCAAATAAATTGATCTTCAGGGAAACTACGGAGGACTGCAAGTGCTTCCTCACTCAAACTGTCGGTCTGCCGTTCTTTCAGCTCGTGCTGAGCTGCACTGACTGCCTTCACTTTCAACTCAGCTGCATGCTTGCGCAGGTCTTTTCTCCTCTGCTTTCTGGCCTCTAGGCCCGTCCTCCTATCGACCGGCGCAGGCGCAAGCAGCTCGCATTCGTCAGGCAGCTGGCGAAGGTCAGAGATGGACAGCTCCCATTGCGCTAAGGCTGCCTCAAGCTTGTCGTACTCGCCCTCTTTCAGGTCAGCCAGCCATTCAGCTTCAGTCCTGACAGGTGCGCGGATGACAACGTCTCTGGTGGGGTCATCAGCAGGGTTCAAACGAGATCTGACATATCCATAAAAAGCTCTATTGTTGTAAGCTACGGCATCTGGAATGGATTGCCTGATCAAGGCATTGACAGATCGAGAAGAAGACCTGCCCTTTGTGAGAGCAGCGAGAGAGACTTGAGAGTCTTGCAAATGCAAATAGAAACTGTCTGGCTGTTTCTTGCCCTGTTCGACCTCAGCTTGCAAAGCTGCTGAAATCTCTCCTAGGTTGATGTGTCTTCGTTTGCGCACCCTTTTTATGCTCCAAACAGCGAAAACTCCTGAGTCTCAACGATTTCCTGCCAGAGAGGATGCATGTCATACTCTCCTTCGGGCAACTCGCAGGCTTCTAAGTCCTCGATCCCTTTTTCTCTCAAATAAGCCTGGGCGGGACTAATCAGCCTATTCCAAAGCCCCTTCTGGAGCGCATGTCGTTGCAGTTCCTCTGTGGCTTTCTGTCCTATCTTTGTGGCTACAGCTCCCTCTGCAGTGGAAGATGCATCAGAAGCAACCAAATAGTCAGAAGGGCGAAGCCGCATGTCTAGATGAGTGAGAGAAACAAGGCCCAATGCGCAAAACAGCTCATCTTGCAGTTCCGGCGAAAAACAGACAATTTCGTTTCTCTGCCGATTTTTCTGAGCCTCATAGATCTCCTGCAAAACGCTCATGAAGCGCCTCCGCAAAGAGAAAATTGAAACCAAAGAACCAGCTATCACTTCTAGAAGCGCGACTGTGCAGCAGCCCAGATTCAGGACTCGCAAAATAATGTGACTCAACGGAATGCCGCGCTTCAGATTTGGGCGCAAATCACCTGCCACACCGTCCATCTGCACTCCCCAAAAACTGCCTCTCGTCTCATTGAAAACAGCCTTACCTGAGTGTCTCGGAAGTCGCACTTTCTCATACTGTTCTCGCACTTGGCGGATTCGCTGGCTGCAGTCTAGCTCAGCATACGCCGCCCTGGCTTCTGTCTCCTCAGTTGCCTGGTCAGGCCTGGCTTCTAAAAGGACTAGGTCATCGATCATGAGCCCAGCCAGCCACCTTTGTCTAGGTGGTCTACCAAACAACGTAATGAAGTGGTCCAACTCTAAAGCACCACTTTGTAGGAGAACCACCAGATGCGAAGCTTGCCCAAACGCGACGGCATTGGTGTCGCCCATAGCCATGGTCTTTAGGCAAGGAGTGACGCTCTTCTCTCGCAGCAGTTTCTGTGAAAAACAGTCTAAAGCCTTCAGCTCCCATGGCCTGAAGCTCATTTTTAAAGCATTTCGCAGGATCCTCTCTTCTGAAATCACAAAAGCATGGTAGAACTCACGCAAGTCTTCCGCAAACAAGTACAAACACTCGTCCTTCTGCAAAAAGAAATGGTGCAATTGGTGAAGTCCAGCAAGAGATTTGATCCAACGCTGCTCTGACTGCTCCAGTGCATTTGGGGGCCGCGCATCTAAAACCATGCGATCCCGCTGCTCATCTTTGGGAATGGCAAAAACACCATTCTGGAACCCTTCCCGGATGGTCCGGGTAGGCCTGAGGGCCAAACGCTTGCAGGCGTCTAACTTCTGCAAAAAGGCTAACCTCTCAGTAGGCGGGCACCTAACTCTGACTCTGGGTGGAGGCTCTGGCAGCTCAGCAGGGTCGATAGCATGCTGCAAGGGGAACTCAAACATCGAGACATTGGCCGGATCCATAAAGGGTCGCGGATCAAAAGAAGGTTCCCCCCAAAACTGCAGCCGATCAGGTTCAAGAACTTTTGCAGGATGAGCAGGAGCAACATCTAGTTTACCAACAACGCTTCCCGGTGCCCCTCTCATGCCCCAATCAGTCCTCAGTCTCTCCTGTGCTTTACTGCCATAGCTCTTGAGGCCGGAGTGCACGATCTCAGCTTCTGCTTGCAGCTGGTTCAGCACATCCTCAAGGCTTTCAACTTTTGTCGCGGATCTGCCCATTTCCGCGCTTGTCACAACCTCTTCTGCATTCCAAACATCTACATGTCGCCTCAGCCTCCGCACCAAATCCCACTGGGAACCATTCAGCGGTGTGCCAAGCGGAGGAATCACTGACTTCCAGTGGCGCTCGGAGCCATGCAGGTAGTTGAGGACGATGACGCAGTAGTTCAAGCCAAGCTTTCTACTGGCGTCCTTTTGGCCACGGTTTGCTCCTTTTCTATGGAGCTCAGGAAAGGGGACCGGCAAAGGCCACAGTACCCCAAGTGGTGCTCGAGCTTGAGCACGGGATGCCCTGGCGTGGAACCAAGCAAGTTTCAGGCGCGATCTCCCTCGAGAAAGCGCGGTAAAAAGGCCATTCCATAGTTCATAGCCCAAAACGCTGGTAGCGCCTGCTCCAGGCACCTTTCGGCCGCCAGCTCCGGCCGTCATAGTGGCATCCTTCACGGATGGCTTGAGTCCGCCTCCAGCGGACCCTTCTCCTTCTTGCCTTCTTTGCCCTTCTGATTGCCTTTCTTCTGCTTGTCTTTGTCTTTGTCGCGATCTGCCTTGGGCGGGGCTCCTCCTCCCGCATCGGCTTTCCCTTTTCCTCCAGTCTGAGTCAGGCGCTTCCTGGATTCCAGATAGCTGTCCTTGCTCTTCAGCCTCCACATGAAGACTTCCAACCAGCGTTCGTCCAGAAGCTTCGACCCGCTCTGCTCCCAAGGTTCCGGGCTCCTGCGGCCCTGAAACGACTGCAGGAGAGCTGGTTGCTCCAACAGGACTTCTTGGCTGAGAAGCCAGCTGCCTTGGTCGATGGAAGACTGATCGCAGGCCGCCACAGCCAGCGCGCAGCGGGCTCGGGCTTCTTTGACGGCCCCACTGCGGAGCGCGTCCCAAATGCCCGTCAGGGCCCAAGCATAGCGGATCGTGGTCGGGTAATACCCGAGTCGCGAGCGATGCTCCAGCCAGGCTCTGGCTGAGGTCTGCTGCATCGTGGCTCCTGGAGCCGCTCGCATCAGGTTGAAGTCTTTCTCCAGCTGCGCTTCGATGGTCTGGTAGATCACCGCTGGATTCTCGGTCAAGCTGCTCTGCAGCTTTTTGTATTTTCCGGACCCAGAGCTCGAAGCCTCTCCTGCTTCTGGATCTAAGCCGTCGAGCATGGCGTCGAGGTCTCGCGGCCTCTTGTCTTTTGCCAAAGTACCGACGATCTCTGTCAGCTTCAGCAGTGCCTGCTCTACGGGATCTCCCGTGCCAACCTTCTCGTCTGGCAGGCCGTCCTCCTCCAAGCCGAGGCCGTCTTCTCTGTCGGCTTCTACCTCTTCTTCTTCGTCTGTCTCCTCCAACACTGAGACGCTCTTGCGTCGTCTGCTGCTGGTGCCTGGCAAAGGCGCATCTCCCATCTGGTTCGGTTTCTGCAGCAAGCCGCTCAAAGTGCGCAGCTGCTCTTCTGGTATGCCAGCGTCCAGAGCTGACTGGACCACGGTCGGGTCTAATCCTGGAATGGTGCCTGGAGCAAATGTTGCTCGCAATCTCGCCGGAGTGGGGTTGGCTGGTTTCACGCCTGGCTTTCGCAGAGCCGGGGGCCGAGCCGGCTCCCCTGCTAAGCGCTCTAGCGCTCCCTGCATTGACGCAAGCGTCTTCTCCATCGCTGCCATCCGGGACTCCAACACAGGAGGCTGATCGCTCAGCCCGGATCTCGCACCACCGTGCGAAGGTGCAAAACTGGGCTCGGGAGGCTGCTCTTCGGCGGCTTCCCCACTCTGAGCCGTCAGAAAGGCAAAATGCTCTTCTGAAACTTGGGCCAATCCGGGCCCGTATGGAATGCTGTGGTCTCCATCGGGCAAAAGATGCCAGATGTCTGCTGTGGGCAGCTCGTGGCGGCCTGGCTCCAACTGCATGCTCCAAACTCTTTCCAAAAGGCCTACCCACACATTCATAGGCGCTTCGGCTCGCAGCTCTTCGGGTGCGGTAACCGTAGCGGTCAAAACTTCTACCAAAACTGGCTTCTTGAATGAATTCTTTGGCAGCAGCCGATCTGCCACTGTGCGGCTCCACGCTTCGGCAGGAGCGGCCACAAGAAGCTTTCCTTGATGCAATGCTATTGGCACCAAATTGATGATGCATTCCTCACCTTCAGTCTGTGTAACCAAATGGCAAGGCTGATACTCTACCTTGGCCTCGCCAGTCTCAGAAACAAGAAGAGACTGGCGAATCTCCTCACTGCAAACAGCTCGCTCAGTCATGTCTGAGAGTTTCTGGCACCCTCAAACCTGCTTCTCTAAAAACAATCCTCGCTTCCCACTTTGTTGGCACTCCTAGAAAAATGGACTGCCCCGCTGATGACCCTTGCTTGCACAGCGCTCTCACTGATGCAAAATTGTCTAAAAACAAAGGCTCAGGAAGGACCTTGCCATGATAGTCGGCACAAACAATGTAGAAGCGGTTCTGAAGCCGCAGGCGATCTCGGCCAGAGGTGCCGCGGTGTTCACCTGAGAGGCAACGGCGTAAAAACTGACCAAGTTCTTTCGCTAATGCCGCTCGACCCTCTGTGTCCTCTGTTTCCACTGTTCTACCTGCACTTGACTGAGACGACCTTGTGACCTCACTCCTAGCCTCTGTCTCTCTAGCTGGCTCACTGGGAACGTCTGAAATCAAATCAAAACCTGACTGTTCTGCCTCCTCCAACCGCCTCTCAAGCTGATCTGTCCTGGAGATCAGCGACCTCAGAGCAGCCCTCAGACTGCTCAACTCAGCTCTGAGAGAGCTGAAAAGCCCAGCACTCATCCAAGGATCCGGTACAACGGTCCTGAGTAGCCGGCTCCTAGGCCGAGGCGAGCTCGAATGAACCGAGCCCAGGCAAGTCGGATGACCACCAGCAAATCAAACAAAGGTCCAACGAGAAAACCCACCGTGATCCCAGCAGCAAATCCAATAACAATTGAATAAGGATCAGGTGACCAAATCTCAGGTAGAGGGGGTAGAACAGAACAAAGTTCGGATGGTGTAGGAAGAACGTGTGGTGTATCCCTCAGTAAATCCCCAGCCAAAGAGACCAGTAAGCTACTCAGACTACCTGCCCCTGCCGCAGTTACGAGGGGACGCATTGAGCAGCAACTTGCGTGCATTCACCCATGAACATGCCCAGTCATACAAAGATACATACAAAGATACATACAAAGATACATACGAAGATACATACAAAGATACATACAAAGATGCATACAAAGATACATACAAAGATACATACAAAGATACATACAAAGATACATACAAAGATACATACAAAGATACATACAAAGATACATACAAAGATACATACAAAGATACATACAAAGATACATACAAAGATACATACAAAGATACATACAAAGATACATACAAAGATACATACATACATACATACATACATACATACATACATACATACATACAAACAAACAAACAATCATACACACATACATACACACATACATACATACATACATACATACATACATACATACATACATACATACATACATACAACATACACACATACACGCATACACGCATACACACATACACACATACACACATACACACATACATGTTACATACATGTTACATACATACATACATACATACATACATACATACATACATACATACATACATACATACATACATACATACATACATACACGCATACACGCATACATACATACATACATACATACATACATACATACATACATACATACATACATACATACATACATGCATACATACATGCATACATACATGCATACATACATGCATATATACATACATACATGCATACATACATACATGTATACATACATGCATGCATGCATACATACATACATATATATATATATATCCAATTCCACCAAAATGCACGGGGTTTCTTGACCCCGCAACAGCAAAAAATGGGCATCAACTTGTGCCACACGAGGTCTGCCAAATGGTCCATGAGGCCAGGGCCTTGGCTTGGAGATGGACGTTTCGCTGGGAAAAGCTTCAATTTCTCCATTGCCATGTTCAGCAGAGGGTAGATTTGATGATTGTGAAATACCAATGATTTATAATATCTCTATTTGGCTCTATTTGGTACTTATAACACTTGATCATAGCGCTGATTATTCAATAATCATCACAGTCATTGATACATTTTCATACTAATTGACAATTGTATATATATATATGGTCATTTTGGAAAATGATCGTATTATTTGAAAATCATCATGATCAATTTTCTGTAAAAACTCTATAGTATCAATTAGACGATGATTAGGATTTTACAATGGTTCTTGTACTTAGTTGTATTTTGATGACACTTATTATGTTTTGTAGCATTAATATGATAGGTTTTGTTAATTGCTTAACGATATTTTATGATATTTTATGATTATCATCAAAGTCATGTTTCATGATAGTCATTGAGTCATTGATAATGATTCTAGTTCTTGGTATTGTGATTGTTCTGTATTTCCCTATCGTTTTTTTTTTACCTTTGCTGTGATTAGATCCGGTGGATAGAATTTCCAACCAGGCTGTGGTGGTGATGCGGGACGACATCCGCTTCGCCATGCACCAATGAATTAGATATCTATGAGCATGGCTCAACTCATTAGTTGTTTGGAAACCTAACCTGCCAGAGGAAGATTTCACAATTTTTATTCATTGGCTAAATCATCTAAAAGTTTTGGTACTTTTCCAGCCAGCCAAGTTCGATTAGTCAAACATGAGTGGTTGGTGGTTCCAGTCATTCTCTATTTTCCCTCCCGTCGACATGGTTTTTCTGAACGTTGCCCAGAAGTGGGGTACTCCATCGATCACCGTCGGTTTCCCCCATAACTTAGAAACCAATGGATGCCCTCCAAATGGACATTGTCATATTGACAATTGGAGATTTCCCAAATCATCCAGCCGTCATGGATACTTCGTAAGCCGGTTCACCCATGGTGACGAGGCGGTGAAGTCGGCGCTTGGAAAGCCTGACCAATACATCACCGTGGCCCTGATGAAGGCGCCGGGTGTATGGAAGTGATGACAGCAGATGTTTTTTTTATCCACCGATGATCTCCAGTACATTCACATAGACCCGAGCAGATAGGGGTTCGGTTGGAAGATTTTTGTTTCCACTAAAAATGAGTGATTTTCAAGGTCGAACTGTAAATCTTCCAGAGGATAACATAAATTGACTATGCAAGTGGTCAATAACCTCGGCTAGTAAATATCCATTCAGTGAGGTATCGCATCTATAAATGGGTGAAGTACTTTTTATTTAACATAGCCATGGAAGCCTTGGCCCCTGAAAATAGATGATAACCATGATGATTTACCGTTTTTTTTGAAATGGTGATTTTCCAGGTCGCTACGTGAAATAGCCAGAGGAAAACATAAACTAACATAAGGATACTGTAGGCAATATGATGTAATATGATATGTAAATATACGTACATATTTATATCATATAACATGATGGTTCATGCTACCTTAGATTCTACAGTTGATACGATTTCATATGTTCGTTCATGATACGACCTTTCCATGGCACCCCTTCGGGTCCAGAGCCTGGATCCACAACCAAGCTAATTCAGACAGGTTATCGGCCAGATTAGTACTATGAATCATGCCCCCATCATCCGCAATCAATGTTGACAACCTATTGTGAAGCAAATACTACACGGCATCTTTTTTTTTGTGTGCCTAGCTCCCTTGAGAAGGTTGGGTAGATGGCGTTTGCCTTGAGTAGTGTCAAAATCTGCTAGCCAATCCCTGGCGGTTGGATATAAAGGGTAGCTTAACACCCTATCACCAACAAACACCTGGGCTTTTGGCTTCACCACATTACAAACCATGTGGATGCATCCCAGCAAGTAGGAAAACCCACATCATATATAATCATTTTTCCCATGAAAATTCCCAAGCCACAATAGGTATATTACCCATTTGTCCCTTTTACTTGGATGGTCGAGGCAGTTATACCTATAACTGGTTGGTGGTTTGGAACATGACTTTCATTTTCCATAATATATGGGATATTCCTTCCCATTGACTCATATTTTTCAGAGGGGTTGAAACCACCAACCAGATAATATCACCAGTTATATATTGGTGAGAACTCAGAATGCCTGAGTCCATATCTCTAAGATGGATCCGAAAATGGGATGGAGGCAGAGTGTGTCACAGTTGCTGGACAAGAAGCCTCGGTTGTTTGGGGGCCTGAGTGCAATGGCTACCTCCCTGTTGGTTGATGATTGTGGTCATTCAACGGTGACCTGTGTGTTTGGGGGCTTTAACTACCAACATTTGGGCATTTGAGTGGATATAAGTAATAATTAGATTATATACAGTTGCTTGATAATTTTGTCGGGATTTGACTGCCATTAATTACTCCAGCAAGAGACCCCAAACAGTGTTCTAAGGAACATGAAGAGATACCAGGTGAGATTATGCAAGTTCTCTCTGTGAAGATCTCTGTAGAAGATCATGTGCAAGATCTCCTTGACAGGTTCGCTGTAGAAGCTGCTGTGAAAGATCCCTTTGTAAGGGTATCTGTACAAGGTGTCTAAAGAGATCTCCACAGAAGATCTCTATAAGAGATCTCTTAAGATTTCTGTTCAAGCTCTCTAAAAGAGATCTCTGAGCAGATCTCGGTTCTCTTCACCACTCTGAACATCGCCAAGGCTACACCCATCCCCCTACACCACCACTCTGAACACAGCCAAAGCTACACCCACCCCCCCTAAACATCCCTACCCTCTTAAAAATGGAATTTGAGGGGGGGGGAGTCGTACTGAAATTTCATTTTAAAATTCCATTCTTGCAATCATGCTTTCTCAATGATCAATATTCCTCATCATTCCATGTCATTGACAAGCAGATGAAAATTAAATACTTGCGCTTAGCTCCGGAGGAGCTAAGCACATGTCAGCACATATGTAGGGATGGCATCCCTCCAAAAATTGCGCCGCCGTCATCATACTTGCGCTTAGCTCCAGTGCCCAAGGCTTGTTAAGAAATGTTACTTTACAATTCCATTTGAGGGGTTGGATCACTATCCCAGGGTCTCCAAGCAAAAAAAATGGAATTCAACAGCTTGGTTTTGTCCCCCGCCCTCCCCCTCTACAGGGGTAGGGATCCCTAAACCACCACTCTGAATAGCCAAAGCTTCCCCGATCCCCCTAAACCACCACTCTGAACATACCAAAGCTTCCCCCATCCCCCTAAACCACCACTCTGAACATTGCCAAAGCTTCCCCCATCCCCCTAAACCACCACTCTGAACATTGCCAAAGCTACACCCATCCCTCTATACGACCACTCTGAACATAGCCAAAGCTACACCCATTCCCCTATACCACCACTCTGAACACTGCCAGCACTACACCCATACCGCAACTCTGAACATAGCTAAAAGAGTTCTCCTGGCAAGATCTCTGTAAGAGACCTCTTGGCAAGATGTCTGTACAAGCCCCCTGCAATAGTTCTCTTGGCAAGATCTCTTCAAGAGATCTTTGCACAAGCTCTCTATAAGAGCTCTCGTGGCAAGATCTATGCAAGAGACATCTGGGCAAGATCTCAGCAACACATCTCAATGCAACTCCCCTGTACAACAGCTCTATAAGAGGTCTCCTGGCAAGATCTCTGCACAAGATCTCTATAAGAGCTCTCGTGGCAAGAGGTCCCTGTCCAAGCTCCCTAGAAGAGGTCTCTTGGCAAGATCTGTTTCAGAGATCCCTGCGCAAGTTCTCTAAGAGCTCTCTTGGCAAGATCTTAGCAAATCTCTCTGCAATGTCTTGGTACAAGATCTCTGTAAGAGGTCTCCTGGGAAGATCTCTGTACAAGCTCCCGAGAAGAGGTCTCTTGGCAAGAGCTCTTGACGAGATCTCTGTACAAGCTCTTTGTGAGAGCTCTCTTGGCAAGATCTATGCAAGAGACCTCTTGGCAAGATCTATGTACAACATCTCTACAAGAGCTCTCTGTACAAGATCTCTATAAGAGGTCGCTTGTCAAGATCCCTGCGCAAGCTTTCTATAAAAGACCTCCTCCTTGATGATCAAAATCAGCACCGCGCCACAACGAGAGCGACCTGACACGGCCAAAGTGCCGAGAGGGCTGCGCGAGCGATCTTAAAACGAGCACCGGGCCACAGCGAGAGCGATCTGACAGGCTCAAAGTGCCGAGAGGGTTGCGCGAGGGATCCCCAAATTCGCACCATGCCACAATGAGAGCGGTCTGACACGCACAAAGCGACGAGTGCTGCGCGAGCGATCTAAAAATTCGCACCCCGCCACAATGAGAACGATCTGACGCGCGCAAAGTGACGAGAGGATTGCGCGAGAGTTCTCCGCGACGCTTGGTTTGTGCGAGCCTGTGCAGTCGAAATGCAAACGGACATCTTTCACACAAAAGGGCACGTTTGTGCTGTAAGTTTCACCAAAGATGCTGCGCACGCATGAGACCACCTCGAATGACCACCCGGCCTTTATAGCTACCGTAAGAACCGCCAGTGTGGCCACACTGTTTGGGGAAAAAGGTTTGTAAACCATCAACCATCAACCATCAAGACATTATCCAGAAATTATGGTTGATGATGAACGCACATGCATTGGGTATGTTTGGGTAAGCTCTGAAACAGGGGAGTTGGCCACAATAGAACACATATATCACGTATATATATATATATATCACATATATATCAAATATATATATATATATATCACATATATATCACACACATATATATATATCACACACATATATATATATATCACACATATATATATATATATATAAATCAAATATAAATCGAATATATATCATATATCACATAAATATCACATATATATATCACGTATATATCACATATATATATATATCACATATATATCACATATATATCACATATTTCACACATACATGCATGCATGCATGCACATACATACAAACATACAAACATACAAACATACAAACAAACAAACAAACAATCATACACACATACATACATACATACATACATACATACATACATACATACATACATACATACATACATACATACATACATACATACATACATACACATACACGCACACACGACATACATACATACATACATACATACATACATACATACATACATACATACATACATACAACATACACACATACACGCATACACGCATACACACATACACACATACACACATACACACATACATGTTACATACATGTTACATACATACATACATACATACATACATACATACACGCATACACGCATACATACATACATACATACATACATACATACATACATACATACATACATACACACATACATACATACATACATACATACATACATACATACATACATACATACATACATACATACATACACACATACATGCATACATACACGCATACATACATACATACATACATCCATACATGCATACACGCATACATACACGCATACATACATACATACATACATACATACATACATACATACATACATACATACATACATACATACATACATACATACATACATACAGACGCACACACATACATACATACATACATACATACATACATACATACATACATACATACATACGTATTTGAGGGTCAACCGACCAAAAATTGGGAATGTAAATGATACGTGACGGTTGGTGATTGTACGGGGATACATTGTGTTGCATTACCCTTACCCAATATATGGGTCATTATCATCACCCATAGACTGATCATCCCATTCTTAAGCAACCAGCGTCTCACGGCATTGCAGGGGGTCTGAAAAACTGCTCCAATGACCCCTGGTGCTTGATGCCTGGGATCGACAGCAACAAACATACAGGGTATTGGCCTTGGGTAAACTGACATAGAGATGGAAAAATTATCATAGCTTCCCCAGGACTTGATCTGGATAAATTGTTTTTTTTGTTTTCCATACCTATGTTACCCTTTGTTAATGTGTAGTAGGGTAAGCTGCAAAAAATGGCGATTTAACCTTGCGGAAAAACGTTGGATTGAAGCAAAACCAATGGGGACTGAACTTAGGGTCTCTTTTCGCCATTTAGCAGCGTGGTTCGATGGTGTAGGTCCAGGTTGTTGTTCTTGCATCGCGGTATAGGGTTCCCCTAAAGCATAGAAATTATACATTCCCAATAAAACAGTAGAAAAATCCAATGAAACAACCAATTTCAATGCACATTCCTATCTTGTTGGATCCTTTCCAACACGACACCCCGAGGTGGTCGAGGTTGACTCGATTGGTGGCGATTTTGGTGCTCTCATCTCCACCATTGCAAAGGGTCTTCAGGTGTAACCAGCCCCGTGGTGAAAGCATTTATGGAAGAATCTGGGTCTAAAATCTCATGTTGACTTATTGTTCCATCAATTGGGGGCTTGCTATAGATGGTTTTCCCATTAAAATCACATTGTTTTCGGCGATTGCTATAATCGCCAGCCACGAGCCAATCGGATGGTAAAACTATGTAAAACTCGCTGTCTAAAGAGTTCCCTATACCCTCAAATGGCAAATATTTTTGAAATCAAAAAGACCAAATGTTGAAATGATTACCAAATATATAATTAGACCAGTAGTACCCGCACGAGGCGGGGCGGAAGTTGCCTTAGGGTTATAGTTATATGATAAGACCTTTCTCATCTATAGAACTTGCATGCGCCGCGCGCCAGCCAGGCCCGTGCATGCGTTTTTTCCCCAGACTGTTGCGCTGATGTCCAAGAACAGAACCTGCGCGCGACCCCGGTGCAGTGCAACGCCAAGTAAACACTTTCTTCACTCTTCGCACTGCACTCTTCACACCGCACTCCACACTTCACACTTGCACTTCATCTCAACACATCCCATCCGAGCTCTTCTCATCTCATTTCATGTCTTCTCATATGTCAGCTAAGTTCTTCTTGACTGTTTTCATTTCATCTCAGCAGAGCTCAACCTTTCTCATCTCAGCGAAGCTAGTCTCAACTCATCTCAGCTCTTCTGCACGTCAGAAAGCTTGAGACACAGATGCATTTATACAGAAGAGTCTTTACAAAATGCTTTGTACTACAAAGCTTGCGCAAAGCACTTCCCAGTACTACTTTGTACTTGCACAGAGTACACCCCAGCAGTACAAACCAAGTACTACAAGACCTGAAGAAAACACCTGGAGAACAAGAGTGACCCCCCTCGTTGCGATTTCGCCGAACAATAACTACTTGCAATAAAACATTCATGACAACAGCTCCAACATTTCGTATGACAACCAATACATTGATAAATTTGTTGTTCGCAGTTTAAAGTTCTATAGCAAGTAAAAAGTTCCATACCTCCAAAACCGCATCTCGATACAACAGAAATTGCAGCTCCATAGCCGGATCCCCTTCAAACCGCCAAATAAACGATTTTGAAGCACATTTGAAAAGGAATTTAAAAGGAAAAACACAAGCGCCTAAAATTGAGAAAACCAGTATCGCAGCCTTGATGCAGCCAACTCCAATATGATTTACGATGTCCAGCTGCAAAAGACAATAGTATTAACGCATGCAACCGCGGCACGAAGCAACCTTGACGCAGCCATTACAATGCGACACCAAGATATCCAATTGCAAGACACAATATATGCGCAACGACATGAGAAATTGCAGCTCCAAAACCGGATCTCGGCGCCAACGCAAAAAAAACGACGATTTCGAAGCACTTTTTACAAGGAATTCAGGAAAATCACCAGCGCCAAAATTGAGAAAATTTGTTCACAAATCACTAAGTTATCGCAGCCTTGACGCATCCACTCCAATACGATTCACGAGTCTCAGCTGCAAAAGACACTAGTTTTACGCACGCAGCCGCAGCGCCGAGCAACCTTGACGCAGCCATTACAATGTGATATCGATATATTGAATTGCAAAGCACAATAGAACTACGCGCAACGGCGTGAGAAATTGCAGCCCCAAAACCGGATCTGATGCCAGAGCAAAAAAACACGATTTTGAAGCATTATTTCAAAGGAAATTTAATAGGAAAATCACCCGCGCCAAAGTTGAGAAAATCTAATGTCAAATCACTATCGAACCGATTCGACGATGAAACGGCCGCAGCCGCAACCGCCGCACACACAAGGTACCTTTTATCGCCGGCTGCAGCCACTTTACACGGAAAAACACAAGGTTTCGTGCTCTGGCTGCCTCCCACAAAACAAGCCCCATGCAACAGTCACGCAGCCATTACAATATGTTTTGCAGCATCACGTCTATAACCCGCATGTATCTACGCACATGGCAACAAACCATGACAAGAATCACGCAGCCATTACACTGCGATCTGCAGTCAGAGATTATCAGAGATTCAACAAGCGAATAGAACGACGCACATATAAACAACCACACGTGGCAGAACACCAAGGGAGGACCGATTCGACGTTGAAACGACCGCAGCCGCAACCGCCGCACACACAAGGTACCTTTCATCGCCGGCTGCAGCCACTTTACACGGAAAAACACAAGGTTTCGTGCTCTGGCTGCCTCCCCAAAAACAAGCCCCATGCCACATTCATGCAGCCATCACAATGCGTTTTGCAGCATCACGTCTCTAACCCTCATGTATCTACGCACAAGGCAACACACCATGACAAGAATCACGCAGCCATTACACTGCGATCTGCAGTCAGAGATTATCAGAGATTCAACAAGCGCATAGAACGATGCACACATAAAAAACCACACGTGGCAGAACACCAAGGGAGAACCGATTCGACGTTGAAACGACCGCAGCCGCAACCGCCGCACACACAAGGTACCTTTCATCGCCGCCTGCAGCCACTTTACACCGAAAAACACAAGGTTTCGTGCTCCGGCTTCCTCCCCAACACAAGCCCCATGCCACATTCATGCAGCCATCACAATGCATTTTGCAGCATCACGTGTCTAACCCGCGTGCCTCAACAGACATGGCAACAAAACGTGACAACAATCATGCAGCCATTCCACTGCGATGGGTCGCCACACTCCCTTCGTCACCACTTCCCTAGGTCATCACACTCCCTTCGTCATTACACTCCTTTCGTCACCACTTCCCTAGGTCACCACTTCCCTACATTGTGATGCCCCCAAGTTAACATGAAGTTATGTTACTTATAACTTGGGTTACGGAAGTTAAGTTGAAGTTATGTTAACTTATGTTATACGATTTATAACTTAAGTTATAACTTCGATAACTTCTTAGGATGTTTTTTTGGTCCTTTTTTTGATATGCCATGATTTTTTATAGAATGATTTGGTTTCTGAAGTTTCTTTATTTGTTCCAGGATTCTCTTGCGTTTTTGGCCGCCACATGCAACGTTTTCATGGCAAGAACATAACCGTGCCGCTTTCAGCGGAGGTCCATGCCGGTATGTGCATGTTTTTCATGCAAGCATATTCGATGAATTTTTTTTCAGCGGTCGTTTTGAAGATTCGAAAAAACTCTCCAGTTTTAATTAGGGCCAAGAGCGCGACAAAGAAATGTAAGCGGCACTTTTGCAGGAAACACAAAGAAACACATTTTAAACACATACGCGGTTCCTACCCTTTACGGCCTGCCTGCTGGAAACACATACGCGTTTCCTAAGGTGAACGCAGTGCAAGATGGAAACACATGCGTGTTTCCATCTGATTTTGTTGTGCTTGGGTGGAAACACATGCGCGTTTCCAATCTGTCACGGAAACACATATTATAGTTCATCGAAACTGATGAGTATCACTGTGCAATAGGAAACACATTTTAAACACATTGCGTGTTTTCTTGCGACTGGCTGCTTGGAGTGTGGAAACACATGCGCGTTTCCTTCATTGTTCTACGTTGTGATGAGAAACACATATGCGTTTCCATGTCTTCTTTGATTTTTGAAGGGAAACACATGCGTGTTTTCTACGTTTGGGGTTCCTATGCTGGGAAACACAGGCGCGTTTCCAGATCCAGGCTCTTCAGCGTAGAGAAACTCTTTTTTTTAGATTCAGCGTTTGAAAGTCTCTCATCTGCGCAAGGCTATACAGCGCATGTTGTGTCTCTATTCCAATTTTTTCACTGCTTCCATGTTGGCGTTCGATGTTGCCCGCAGGCGGCACCGACTGGGTGATACAGTCTGAAGCACCATTTTCTGCCGCTACCATGACGGTTTTGGAAAAAAAACTCCCGTTGACCATCGAAAAACTATCATGTCATACATGACTCAAAATGAACAACCAAAAAAATGCTAACTCGCGTAACTTCGATAACTTCATTTTATCTTTTTTCCTTGGGATAGCCTAACTTATGTTATAACTCCACATCTTTTGTTATAAATTCAACATAAGTTATAGAAGTTAGACTATGTTATAACTTATGTTACCCCATGTTATAAATCATTTTGCAGAATATGTAAGTCAAGCTGTATCTTGGGGGCATCACAATGTAGGTTGTCACCGCTTCCACACTCCCTTCGTCACCACTTCCCTAGGTCACCACTTCCCTTCGTCACCACACTCCCTTCGTCACCGCTTACCCAAACCACCGCTTCCACCACCCTTCGTCATGTACTGTTCTGTGATGTCACAATTCTATTTACCCGTAACTCGACAGATTGCTTCCCAACTTCCGTTGATAAATAAATCAAGTGGAATCTTGAGGGATCAATCCTTTGATTCAAAAGCCGATGCAATTTCACAATTTACGACAATTTTCTTTAAGCGAAGGTCACAATTTGTTTGAAACGTGCGGAGGCACATGGCGTGGAACCTTCAAAGGCCACAAAATGGGATTTGGATGGGGTTGAAACTTATGGGAAGTTACGGGTACTTGGTGGATCATCACACTACGAATTACGGTGATTTCTATTGGTTCGCACAATTGCCAGTTCATGAGGTTATCACGCATATCGATAGGCAAAAATAATCTGCTTACTAATCAGTTCCTGTGGGATATTCCTCCAATAAAAAGTCCCATGAGAGTTAAAACGTTGGTAAGTGACCAAGAAAAGTCCCTTGATAAATCTGAAGGATTGGGATAGACACATTTAGTATATATACATAGAAATTTCAAAATCAATTCCAAAGTTGGACAGAAACTGAAACTGAAGCTGCAAATTGGGGACCGAACCTCCAAAAATACAACATAAACATGCATAGTGACCAGCAAACTGGGTTTCGTGCCACGACACCTTTGATGGTTTACTATACAAACAATGAAAAAATTGCGAGGTTCAGGGTCTCCAAGTCGACCCAGAATGTTGATTGTTTCTATACGGTTGGAGTGAAAGACGTTTTCCCGTTTTCCCCACAATTTGGGAGGGTGAACTTCCCCCCAAAAATATATACAATATATATATATCATATAAATATATATATATATATAATTCCGTATAGCTCTGTTCATTTGGGAATCTTCACGACAGTATCCACAGAGACATGTGGGTTTCGTCTGGATGTTAGCGACATCACATCAGGAATTGGGGCAGCATAGAAATATTGAACATAATATATCACTAATACTGATAGAGACAGAAGCAACAGACAAATCCACACCACCGACACGAATCGATAGGAGTATCATTGGGATATTGTGGATTATGGAATATTTTGTTTTTTTTTAAGGGATATGCTGATGCAACCGAGCAAAAAAAAACAGCCAAGTTTGACCAAAGAGCGTATCCTACCAAGTCGCAAGATGTCGCCAGAAGGTCCCATATTTCTGATCAGTGTAACCCCCAGTTCTTCTTCTGCAGTATAGAACATTACATAAGATTACTATCCATTACTTATTGTAAACAACCATAAACAACCATTTCTGGTACAGTGCTACCGTATACTTTTCGTGGACGTCGAGGTGACTGGAACATTCCGAGGAGTGTCCTTCAAGGTGCGTGGGTCGGCCTCGAAGACCTGGCTGGTGTTTCTGGGTTGGGCATGTCATGGGAACTCTTTCGTAACATCACCGGAACATGCATTCTTCACAGCAGGGCTACCTTTGATGATCCGATGTTCTCCTCTGATCACCCTGCCCTTTCGTTTGAACACCTCTGGTTTTCTTGTGTTTCTTCTGTTTTCTTTCTTTCCCCTATTAGTACAAGTGTGTTTTCTGTAGCAGGTGTCCCACATTTCCACCAATGTATGGGCCAAAAGCTAGCAGTGTCAACCTTTCCAACGCATGGGTTGCTCCGAAATATGTTTTTCTTTATTGTGGGAGGAAATCAAAAGAAACAAGAAACACAAAGGAACTAGCTAAAATCAATTATTCTTAGATTATCTATGATTATCTCATTTGTCCTTTGGTATCCTTTGATTTCTTTTGGTTTCCTTTGGTTTCCTTGGGTTTGGGGCCTGGGGCTGGGTGGATTCTATGGGTTTTCCTTTGGTTTCCTTTGTTTTCCTTTGGTGAGAAACAAAGGAAAAGAACACCCGAGGAACAGATAAACCAATCAAGGAAAGTCTAAGGAGGCTATAAGCCCATAGAATGCATCAACCATGCCTGTTACTAAGGCTACTAAGGCTACTAAGGAGGCTGCTAGAGTGGATGGGTTGGAGATCGGTTGAAGAGAGGTTTCCTACTGTAACTGTGTCCTTCACATGGCTGTGGCAGGAGTTCGCCATGAATGGCCGCCCTCTTGGCTAAGCTCAAGAAGTAGCAGCCAGGCGGCGGAAATAAGTTGTAGTTAAACCATAGACCGCTTTGAAATCATTTCAAAACGTGAGCAACAGGTGAAAAAAGCTGGCATAGCATGAACGCAGTGCATGTGACACTTGCTCGCCAACCGGCACTTCAACCGGGCAAGAGGACAGACTGCATTTAGATGTCTCAGCATCGGCTCGAAAACCACAACACCAAGACATCCATTATGTCGTATAATGCCAACAGACCAATTATTTTGCGAGGGAAACACAAGTTGTGGAGCTCGAAAACCCGTTTGCGCTCCATATTTGATTCAAGACAAAATCCAGAGGACACTGTCGACAGACTCAAAACAAGGTCAAAATCTGTTCAGTCTGTTCCCTTCAGTTGATCCAGATTTGTACAAGTGATATTAACAAATAGTGACTATCCAGAATCCAGGCTTTATGACCAGATGAAAAGCCTTGGAGGACACCAATTGGATACCAACTCCAGCCCATCGGGGGCTGGTGCCATGGCACTCACAGATTTGCTCGCAGCTCAGTCCTGAGTTGAGTGTGACTGCCATAATGTTTTTTTGGTGGGTTTTCTCGAATTGGGTATAAGATAGTATAAGTATGTATATATGTAACATCAAGTAATCAGTAATTCAACTCACGCCAATTCTAGTGGGAAAGATCCGGATCAACCACGGGAGTTTGGGATACACTCTTTTCTGGCAAACCAAATGAGGAACATGATATCCAGTTGAACAACCTGTTAACAGGGCGTCCAAGACTAGCCACAACGCCATAGTAGTCATCTCTAGTCATCGAGGTCCTAGGATAAATGTGGATAGAGTCAGAGTCAGGGACCATCATAAAACCACCGTTTTGTTTGAAAGGGGACGACCATTTCATCATAAAAGGAGAAATCATAGAAAGGGAGGAAGACTTTCAAGACCGTTTGAATCCGTCTCTTAGTGGGCCTCCAGTCCATGTCTTTCACAGCCGATCTCAAAACACAATCTTAAGGTCCATTTTCTCCGCGAAAACAATGCAACACATGCAAAAAAACAATCTTAAGAACTACAATGAACTATACTTTTATTATCGTTTATTTTCCCTCAACCAATCTTAGAAACAGGTTTTGGTATTTTCTTTGCCCCCGGGCCCCGGATGATCCTTTTCGACAAGCGCTGAGATCCACTCTGCTTGCAGAAATGAGCCCAACCTTGGGAGTTGAAGGTGAAGTCGCGTCCTAAGGAGGGACTAAGAGGACGATTTTGGTGAAGCAACAAGAATGGGACTATCATGGGGATATATCGGATATATGATGGTGATTCCTGTTTTTTTTGGTTTTGCCGATGATTTGCTGAATTTTCGAATTTTGGCAATTCCATTACGACTGGGGAATCTATAGGGAATATGCGAATACCATTATTTTATTGTTTTGTTTGATTTTTTTAGGGGTTCCTGAAGTAAATCTAAGGATTGGACCTATTTTCTGATATCACTTGAAAACATGTGCTTAAAAGCCAGTGAAAAAACTCTTAGGAGAAGCTACAATAAGAATATATAGCTCCGGATCAAGCCACATAGACGATGGCTTCATATACATTTCAAATCAGGCTTACGGTTGATAGTAAATTCGCATAAATTAGCTGGCTAATTTAACCGCAAGTTGGTTGATTGGGATTGAATCACCACATATAATTCAGCACACGCAGAAATTAACCAACTTGATTTTGATTACATGCAATTGAACCACAAGTTGGTAAATTGCAGGTCACCAAGTAATCCGCTGGTGATGGATTTGCCATTTATAAGGCATCCAATTGTTTCAACTGGGGCACCAATTTTTGATTTGCACTACTTGTATTTGCTGTTGAATAATTCATCATGCTTTTGCTGGTTTTCTCAACTTATTCCTTCCATTTCTGGCAGTTACTCAGAGAACTCCGTGATTCCGAGGGAGTTGAGTTCGTCATGTCGCAGCTGTTTAGACTCAAAGTGTGCACCGCTGACATGTCAAGATTGCAAATCAGCCCACAACGCAGACATGTCAGAAACATCAGAGATGTAGATTCATAAACCCTAAAGAACTGGCAAGACCCTGTAAAACCTGAGCCGAAGAAAACATTGCCCTTGAGAATCAAAAAACAGGTTCAGCTGCTTTAGCCCCAAAGCTTTTGCCCCAAAGCTTTAGCCCCAAAAAAGACAAGCTTTTTTCAAAACAAGTCCCTCTCAGGGCTTCCATTTTGACGCTTTCGGCTCCGATGGATTTTGACAACGAATCCCTGCTGCGGTGCTTCTGTTCGGAAGAGGAGGAGCAGAGGATTATTGCTTGGAACAAAGAGAACGGCCATGCTCGGTCTGATATCTTCGAATTCAGCATCTTCGGCTGAAAGGATCTGCTTTGTGAAATGCCACAACGAACGACCCATCCGAAATGTCAAAGACCCACCCCAAGCCACACTTGATGTCGAAGGGCAAATGGATTGACTAGGTACTAATGGTTGTATTCCACCCGGGTTGATGGTTGATTTGGTCTTTTGATGTCTTTTGAGTTTGGAGTTTGCAGGCGTGAAGGTGTAAGGTTGAGAGTTCTTTGTGGGTTTGTGAAGCATCGGAGGGTTCACTGCAATTGTTCGGTAATTTCCAGCACGATTCCACAGTTTCCGATGTCTTGGCAGCCTCGATTTTTTTATTTCCAGCCTGCTCATCGTTAACCAAGGGCTTGAAGAAGCCGACAAATTGAGAGCGCAGGGCAATGAGTTCTTCAACTCAGGAGACTTTGAAACTGCTCGTCAGCGCTACTATGGTGCCATCTGGCATTTGGATTTTGATATTGGCCAACAGTGGAATCTGATGGACAAACACCAGCTTGACCTGAACACTAGGTGCCTTGGCTGGACACCAGCTACTCTACCATTGGATTTCCAATAGTTACTATTAGTTGCCACAGATACCCGTGTTTGGCATGTGTGAATGCAGCCAAAAGACCCATATACATCCATGTACCGTAAATCTCAGCTGGCTCTGGGAAAACCCACCATTTCATCCCATAATCCCTGCTCACAGTGGGGATTTTGCAGCCCTGTTTTCCAGAGATTTATAAATCACACAAAATTGTGGCGGTCACAACCGGCTTCTAGAAATGGGTCCTCCAGCGGTGAGATAGGCAAGTTGATTTATAGCCATATAGGAGGACCTACGTCATGACATATCGTTGGATCCCACCAAAGGGGGGTCAACATCGCCAATTCTATCCATTTTTGGATCTCAACTCGGATCTCAACTCGGATCTCAACTCGGATCTCTCAACCAGAGGTTGAACATGGGATGGGGAGTGGTAACTTTGAATCAGAAATAGCCTCTGGTAATTTAACATCACTATTGAGAATCACCATTGTTAATAGGTAAATCAAGGTAAATCATCTAAAAGTGGGCGATATTCATCCATTTTCCATAGCACCAAATTACCAAAGGGTACGTCAGCTCCCCCTTAGGAAGCTGAAAGTCATCAGCAACATCTGCGCAGCGTACCTGAAGGCCGAAGAGCCTTGGCCTTGGCGAAAACAGCGTACCTGCAATGCTCTGCCGCTCATATTTGGGATCCAAAGATCCAAAAGCTACTCATTGGGGAACAACTTCAAAGCTTATTTCCATTGGGATATGAGGTTAGCTAAAGTATGCATTCACGACCTTCAGACACAGGTCGGAAGTTTGCCAAGACCTTTTACAATGCTTTACAATCAACTGTACCAGGGATAAAACTGCCACCACCCCGCAAAAATAAAAAACACCCGTTCATGATATAGAGGTTATGTTTGCATTTAGTTAGAAAGTACTGTATTCTGTCTCAACATCGGTACAAACATCCATGAACACCAACAACTTCCCTGAGAAAAACCTTGTTTTCTATCCTTTGGGGTGCATTTTCAGTTTTTAATGCATACTGTATATTTCACCACCATAGTTATACTTTCTGGTATCCCAACTTATGGATGTGAACTCACCATGGTTGCATAAACATCACCCTAACTTATCATAATCATAGATCGCCTATAAATCTATGGTTGTAGTCATAGACAAACATAAATCATGGTAAGTCCCCAAAAAATGTATATATATTTTTGAAGATCACCCCAACTGATCTCCCCAAATCCATGGTTCTATAAGTGATAATCATAAATTCTACTCAGAGAATGTCCCAAGGTATCCCCAAGTTCCCCATCAGAAACCAAGGACTGGGTGAACACCAAAAAGGCGGCAGACATTGGCGTGCGGCACATGGAGAAGGGTGAGCTCACGGATGACGAGGCCAAGGGGAAGTTCCACTACCGCAAAGGCCGGAGATGTGGCGAAGGGCCAAGATGTGGCCGGATATCTTGGGGATGTGGAGGCTGTGTATTTTTGGATGGTCAGCTGGTTAAAAAAAACATGGTTAAAGCTACTAGCGGATGTGCATGTTAAGACCTGGCAAGGTGGTGACATGCAGATTCAAACATCATGTTCTGGTCAAAATTGGTCAAATATCATGGCAGATCATGGCATTTTCTATTGCCAGATTTGTTTACTTCGGAAAATATCGACACATGTCGTTCATTTTGCGCTTTGCCCCAAGTTAGATCCCAGATTCATTCGATTTCACGAATTTCACGCAACCACCATCACCTGATACCCGCAAAAAAAGGGATGAACGATGAACACATGGGATGGTTTGCTACGGAAAGCGACAAACTGATCCCTTTCGCCTCCTTTGGATACCATCGCCCTCAATCTTCAGTTTCTCTAAGTAGAAGATGTGGAAGTGGATAAACAACAGATTGGCCTTCATTTGAATCCACCAGGCTTTGCAAATCTACAGAGAGGATTTGCAGAGGATGCGTACGCGTCGCTGAAACAGGTGAAGATGCCAACCCCGGATCAGTGGGCCCCCAACAGCGGCTTACTCAAGAGTCGTTATCCAGTTATCTCCAAAGGAGTTTCATCTCTCACAATGGTTTGCCCCTTAAATCAACAAAAATCTGATCAGGTATATCAGGTAACGGTGTCAACATTCGGTATGGGTCCAATTTGATAATTTGATACCCCCGATGGCCTGGATGGCTTACTGCTCTCCTCCTCGAACCTGCAGCCCAGCTAGTACTGGTGGCATTTTCCATCTATGAGCAGGATACATGACTGGGGAAATACAATATGTAGCAGCAGAAGACTATTGTATGGATATGTAATGTTGGTTCCTGATTAGCGTCAGGCCCCCCCCCTCCCCCCAAACAATATTTGGACTCTCTTTAAGGTGGAAAGTCAAAACAAATCTTCCCAAGAGAAAAGCAAATCCTCACTTAAGCAAGGATTTCAATTGGCTACAATTGAAATCTAATTAAAACTGTTTTTTGCCGATGAACTTGTAGTACTGGTAGTACCTGTAGTACCTGTAGTATTTGTAGTACTTGTAGTATTTGTAATGGAGCCTCTCCTGGTCCAGGGCCTTGGAAAATTGTGGAAAAGCTGTTCTTTAATAAGCGTTTAATAAGGGATTTGCTCCTTTGGGAAAGGCTTGGAGTTTGAATTCGGCAATTGCTTTTGGAAAAAAAGTCTTCCTCTCAGCAATTACAGGTTGTTTTTTTTCCAAAAAAACTATCCCATTTTTTTTTGCCACAAAAGTGAACCCTCCAAACAATACATGGCTTTCAGAATAATTCGGAGAAAATTTGCCACAATAGCGAACCTAGCTACTAATCAGGAGCCAACATTAGATATAACTAACATATCCCCATTATATATATATATTTACTATATATTTATGTATATGTGGAACATGAACGTGGAGATATCGACTATTGTTGACGGGAATATCCCCAAGTATCTCATGATATGGCTTATCCTTTACCAATCTGAGTCTTCCCCTTACAGTTTACCTCGCAGGCGGAGTCCTTCGCCCCGGGCGACAAACAGATCCGCAAGATGCTGAAGGAAGCAGCGGAACATCAGAAGGCAGTGCCTCAGCCTGTTGTCCTGTGGGAATGACGATGATATATATATATATATGTATGGATAGATGGTCATCCTGGAGCAGGTTGAATATGGAATGTGCAGAAAAAACATCACTAAAATGGGAATATGGTTGAATATGTTATATTCTATCTACTCCAGGACTCCAGGATGACATATCATACTTGTATATACATACACACACATATATATATATATATATATATATACACATGTGCATGCATATGGTACCTCCATATGTATATATATATATATATGTATATATACATTGTTATATCTTGCTATGTTTATATAATCTAATATCTATTATCATATCAATGCATTTCCGATTTCCAGACATGAATCCATTTTCGGGGCAGGTAAGATTGCTAGCAATGCTGGTAGAAGAATGGCTGGGGGTGAAGCTAGCAAGCCTCTAAGGATCGGGAAAAAGCCAAAGAGGTTTGGCGCAGCAAGCCCCTTGGCAGAGTGTAAGACTCGGCCGAACTCAAGCCCCAAGGAATGGATAGAATGGATGGTTTGATCCTAAATCCAGAGTATTGGGTAGGTTTATTGGCACCCAACATTTGAACTGACCCAAAGTGATTAGTTTTCTCACCATGATCTCTGCGGTGTGGTGTTCATTGCGCTGGCAATTCTTGGGGACCCCAAGACCGATCGCCATCCACTGGGTTTTAGGCAGAGATCTTCCCCAACATCCTTCACTAAAAACATCCATGGTTCATGTGACCGACACGCAAAACCTGTCTGCATTGTTTCAATTGGGACCCTGTCATAAGAACCTTTGGCGTAAGTAAATCCCTGGGTGATCCAAGGTGGCATAAGGGGTATTGTCAAAAATGTGTTGCGTAAATATCAGCAAACAGACCTGACAGCTCAAACCAAGAGCTTGCCGAAGCAGATCCTGTGGCGGTGTGTCAAGGGGTGTCATTCTTGAAGATAATATACCGCCGGGTAAGGTCGCGCAACCTTCTTATAGTCCAGTCTTTGCGCATAAACTGCGTCTGTGTAAGGAGCGCGTAAGGTCAGTCGTAACCAAATCCGTAAACAAGTTGGTGAAGCAGATACAGCAGAGAGGTTTTTTGAACAGTTCAAAGTTTAGTTTACCCTTCCGTGTCATCACACAGTGTCACAGGGCTAGCTGGGAAATCGAATCTAATTGAGAGATTTTCCAGCCGCGGAGCTGATTACCGAAGTGTAGATGTTGAACTACATCTCCACCATTGTCCATATTATAATGGTTATATATGGATATCGAATGGTGTATATATTTATATATATTACCATTATTAACACTACTATTATTACTATAGTGATATAGATATATTACTATTACATTACTATTCTTATATATATATATAGTTAATTGTATAATAGATATTTATATATTACTATTATATTAACTATGTCTTGCCCCGTTTTGGTTAAATCTCTCGAAACACCAAAGCCAGCGTTTCGATTTTCCTGGTCACAGGCTCCTCACTGAAGAAGAGAAGTCGTGCCAGGCTGCGTAATTCGAGATCATTTGGGGAAGAAAGAATCCCCCTGGGTGAATTTTGCTGGGTTATACTAAGTTATACTCACTGTCATGGATATTTTTTTGTAAGATTACAAGATATTATAAGTCACAGTGAATGGATATAAATGGAATACCGGAATAGCTATTGATTTACCAAGCAGTGTTGTGCGATCATCTCTGGGTGACTTCAACTGGGATGATGCAATTTTACAGTGTAACCGACCATATCATTGTATTGTAATATTAGTCGTGATACTATGGATATCATCATCACATAAAAAAATATGTATATATATATATATACAGATGTACCATACTATTATGTATGAGTGATCATGCAATAGCAGCTCCACAATTGTTATTATGAATTATCACGTGTAGATGTATGATAAGGTACACATATATCATCATATATCAATGATACTTCAGGAGGCATAAAGTTTATGCTTCTTGAAAGCTTTATATACAGGACATCCATCGCGGTCAACCATGGATCACATTTCCAAGTCCGTTTTGTGTGGCAGTTGTTGGACGGTCAATTATATCACCCTCCTTTAAATGTATATAAGATTTTACAGCTTTTGGGGGTGGAAATGCGTCCGGGATACGACACAGCTCCTCGCTAGGATTCTAAGGGGAAAGGGTCTGCAAAAGAAGAAACCAAACATGTTCACTGTCGGAAGCTCAACAAGCGAAACTTTTGTCTTACCAGTGTGTACAAATCAATTTACAACATATACCATTCCCCATACGTATCTAATATATATATATACACATATTAGTATGTATGTGTGTGTATATATATATGGGCCAAAACCTTGGTACCCTAGGTACCCCAAGTCATGGCTGGCTAATGGATGTTTATTCCCCAGTCATCCGATGTCTGTGTTGTATTACTATATCATGTTACTATAATTATAATATTTTGTTGTCCTTTTTTGCTATAATGCATTACTAAATCATTTTGCTATTTTAACTTACCATATTTTACGACTATGTTGTTATATTATGTTATTTCGCTTTTAAAATGATATATCATGACTTTTTTTTAAATTTATTTCTAGATCATTTTACTATATCAGATTACTATATTATATTACTAGTATATTACTATTTTTCATTACTGTATTAAATTACCACATTAGATAACTGTATTATATTGCTATATAAAATTGCTTTATTATTTTTCTATTTTGTGCGGAGTCATCACCGGGCCGTTAACCCGCACGACAGCATTATCCAGACGGTCGAGCAGCACCAGCGTGGAAGCCAGCAGCGTCCACGGGTTGTCGTCCGGGCTCAGGTAGTCCGCCATGCGCTTGGAATAGAACTCCAATATCACACCCGGTAATCGCACGGACCAGAAGCACATGAGCTCCAAAGGCGCGCACTCCATGTGGCCCGCGTACGCCGACTGCATCTGCCGGCGCAGGCAGAAGCGCGCACAGACTCTTTCATGAGCGTGGTTGACAGTTGCCCGGCAAAAAGTCGGGCTTGTACTTGCCTGTTCCGGAGGAAGGCATTCTTGCTATGTTAGATCACTTTTTTTACATTACTATATAATATTACTAAATTCAACAACTATGCTGCTTTGCTCTATTATATTCCTATTATATTCCTATATTATTGCTATTTTATATCATTATATTTTTACCGAATTCCTATGATCATTTGAAATAACTATATTATACTACTTTATGATTTTTTTTTGCTTTATTCTATCACTATATTGTACTTTTGCATCATTTAATTTTCTAAATAACTATTTTTTTGATTGCTGTATTGCAGTATATTACTATATTATAATTTTATTTCTTAAAAAATATATATATTATTTAGATATATTAGATAAATTTTTACTGCTTTATCAAATTACTTTGCTATTTCATATTAATATTATTTACTATTGTATTATTTACTATATTATATTTATTTTTTTAATTAATGTAATTATTACTATGTTATTGCACCATTTTATTTCACTATATAATATTACTATATTATATTACTATTTTCAACAATCATATTAAATAACCATACAGTATTGTATTGCTATATATATAGATTATATATACATATCTCTGATATATCCAACGTTGTCACCACAATCACTGCCTGCTTCGCCTTCCCAGGGCTCCTGGACGCAGCCGTCGGTGGCCTCGGCACGGGTGAAGTCGATGCTCCGGCGATGCTGTCGCCGCAAGACGCAGTGACCGCATCCCAGGGGCCCCAGGGGCCCCCAAAATCATGGATTTAGCATGGGAAATATAGCCGTAAAACATCGGTAAAAAACAGGGAATTTGACCACTAAAGATTGGGGATTTAGCATGAACCGCATTCAAAGGTGGTTTACACCCGCCATTGAGAGTTGATTTTCTTGAGAAACCTCCGTTATACCAGTAGTACCGCACAAGGCGGTGGCGGAAGTTTCAGAATAGGAAACCTATAGGAGACGTTGGTTGTTGTGAATCACGGATGGCAGAGCGAATCCACTGATTGACCGAAAGGTGGTTGGAGTTGTGTTTCCTGGAGTGGTTGCAATGGTTGCAGTGGTCACCTCACCCACAACTGCTGGATGTAGTGTGATGTACTGCAACTGTAGTTGTAGTTGTAGCGTAATGGAGTTGTAGTTGTGGTGTAATGTAATTAGTGTAGTGTAGTTGCAGTCATATAGTTGTAGCTGTAGTTGTTTTGTAGTTGTAGTTGTAGTTGTAGTTGTTGTAGTAGTAGTAGTAGTTGTTGTTGTAGCTGTAGTTGTTGTGTGGTTGTAGTTGTTGTGTAGTGTGGTTGTAGTAGTAGTAGTAGTTGTTGTAGTTGTAGTTGTAGTTGTAGTTGTTGTTGTTGTTGTTGCTGTTGTTGTCGTAGTTGCTGTTGTTGTTGTAGTTGTAGTTGTTGTGTAGTTGTTGTAGTTGTAGTTGTTGTAGTTGTTGTAGTTGTAGTAGTTGTAGTTGTAGTTGTTGTGGTTGGTGTTGTTGTTGTTGTTGCTGTTGCTGTTGCTGTTGTCGTCGAAGTTAGGGTAGTTAAGTTAGTGAAGTTAGTTAAGTTAGTCAAGTTAGTTAAGTTAATCAGTGTCTACTTTTTCGACATCTTCACGTCGAAAAAGGCTCAAAACCCTCGGTTTTTTACACTTTTGACTTCGAAATGTGCTTCGCGCCACAACGGCGTGCACTTTTTCGACGCTTTTTCGACATCGCAACTTCCAAAAGTGGTCCGAGACCGCCAGTTTTTAACACTTTTGACTTGGAAATGTGCTTCGCGCCACAACGACGTGCACTTTTTCGACATCGCAACTTCCAAAAGTCGTCCGACACTGAGGTGTTTTGTACATTTTGACTTCAAAATGTGCTTCGCGCCACAACGGCGTGCACTTTTTCGACATCTCAACTTCCAAAAGTGGTCCGACCATGGTGTGTTTTGTACCTTTTGACTTGGAAATGTGCTTCGCGCCACAACGGCGTGCACTTTTTCGACATCTGAACTTCCAAAAGTGGTCCGAACCTGGTGTGTTTTGTACATTTTGACTTGGAAATGTGCTTCGCGCCACAACGGCGTGCAATTTTTCATCGCTCCTGTGGCCAGCTGGCTCCGCACCCGCCGCTTTAGCGAGCCTACTTTTCGACCCTCCGGAGCCACAAATCATTGGAAAAACACAGTGTTTCGCGACTTTCCTACCTTTTCGCGCATCTGTAGCGTCTGTCCTCTTACCCTTTCTCTTCTGATCTTCTCTCTTCTAATCTTCCTCTTCTCTGTGCCTCTGCCCTGCTCTGCTTTTCATCTCTCCATATTGTCGGAAGTTTGACTTCTAAACTTCCTTCGATAAGGGATTTTCCATTGCCACGTTTGATGACCAGAAGGTATATGCAAGATTCGGGATCGACGTCACTGCAAATGATGCTTAGCAAGGGATATCCATGGCAATTAATGGGATATCAATGGTATATAAATGGGATGCTTGCTGGTGAAATCCCACAGTTCCTTTATCCTGGCCTATTTGGGCATCACCAACATTGTCGCTTGATTGTGCTCACGAGCATCTCTATTGCGCAGTAGGACAGTGTGACCAAAAACCAACCCACAATGCGCGTCGAAAAGCGGCTCCAGTGGCGCGATGCATTTGGATGCAGAGATACGTGGGTTTGCATGGGATTGCTATTTTGATTGAAGAACTTCTACTACCAACACTTTTCCTGGACTAGATGTAGATTAGTATCAGTGCGTAAACATTCTTGGAAACTGCCCGCTTTGCTTTCCATGCAACTAATGGAGCAATGGAGCATCCTGGATCATCCTGATTTGGGCCACCGGTGGCCACCGGATATGACGCGATCTTTGACCTGGCTAGACCTGGCTGAGTGGTCGTCTCAGTCATCTCCATTGTTTCTCCATGGACTTCGCTTGTGAAGTTCACACATTTTCCACCAGGTCGTTTTTGCTACCTCCAAGAGCTTGTCGATGAGGCCACGGAAACGTAGAATTCACTCAAAATAGCTGACTCACTTAACTTCATTATTTTGTCTGTCTTTCCTTCGCGGGTGAATATACGTAGTTTTGTTTCAACCAGATCTCGCCAGTATTGTCAGCAAAGTTGCTGCGCAATCGCCAGTTATATCAAAGCCTAGGGTTTCAAAGTCGCTGCTCTGTTCTGCGCAGACAAGCGGCCGAGTTGGATCCATGGATGCTTTTTCGAGAAGAAGAGGGTTTGACACCCAGCTGTGCCGATTGGAAGAAAGCTTTGTCTCAACAAATCCCCTTGAAAAGTCTAAATTTTAGGTTTGGGAGAATCTTTAGGACTTGTGATGAGTTCACAGGGAAACGTATGCTAAATCATATACAATTATACGTATATATATACATATATATATATATATATATTTGCAGGTTTTTTTCATTTAGAGCAACATGCGTTATACGCGTACATACTTGAATATGAATAAATTTGTTTGTCTATGTAATTTAATGTAATTTAATGTGATTTAATGTAATGTAATGCAATGCAATGCAATGCTGGTGAATACATTGTAATGTGATGTGATGTGATGTAATGTAGCGAAATGTAATGTAACTAACTGTACTGTAGTATAATGCAATCTAATGTAGCGTAATGGAATGGAATTGAATGTAATTCAATGTAATGAAATTTAATGTAAAGCAAGTGAATGCTGTGCAATGTGATGTGATGGACTGTAATGTAATATAATATAATATAATATAATTTGATATAATATAATATAATATAGTTTGATATAATATAATAACATATAATATAATATAATATAATATAATATATAATATGATATAATATAATATAATATATCATATATAATATATAATATATAATATATATTATATAATATATAATAATATAATATAATATAATACAATATAATACAATAAAATATAATGTATGTGTATTAGCCACCCAAAAAATATAGATGATACTTTCTTTATTATTTAGAATAATTTTACTGTTCTATCTCTTAAGGGGTTACTGTATTAATTACTCTCTCTATATATACATACAGTCGCATATATATAATATATGCATATATACATATAAATATACATATATATATACATATCATATATATATATATACATATATCATATATATACATATACACATATATCATATATATATATATATACATATATCATATATATATATATACACATATATATATATATATACATACATATGCATATATATATATATACATACGTAATCATACACATATCATTTTACACGTACATACATGTATATATTGCACGTGTGCACCTGTAGCTTGCACCTTTCTTTTGTGGGTTCATAATGATTCATCTCTGGCAGCTTTGGATGAGGCTTGACCCTCATCCTGCCGAAGGCGAAGCGTGATTTCATCAAGGTAAACCTGAAATTGAGAATTAACCAACCAACATGAAGAATTAAGCACAGAAATCCTGGGATATGTTGGGATTTCCATGGGATTTACCCTCCTGAAAACATGAATGTGGCAACTGAAACTCCCCGAACCAATTGGAGGCTGGGAAAAATGGTAATTACCAGAGGTTATACCGCTACTCTGTTGGGAACTAATGAGATGCTAATAAGATACTAAGAGATACTAAGAGGATATTAATTGGATACCAATGGAATATTGATTAGTATACAGCGGTGTGTCCGACCATGGTGTATACTCATAAAATTGCCGTTTGAATGTTGAAAACTATTATTAAGCAGTGGATGGAATGGGTACTCAAGTTTAACACAGATGTTTTCCAGAATGTGAATGTGAACCCAACAAAAAGTGGAAGAGAACTGAATCCAAATTGGTATTTATCGAAAAATGTGAGGATCTTCCATCTCCCAATCAGAGTTGGTCGAGTGAGGCAATAGCTGAGAAACACGACCTTGTGCATGAAGGCGGGAGACTCGCAAGTTGAAGCTGTTGGGCTTGAGGCCTCTGGTCATCAAAGATGACTTGCTGGAAAATCTACCCCATCTACAGCTTTCCCATTAGGAAAAAAAACCCTCTATAGTGGTTTTTCCCATATGAAAACACCTCCATGGCTCGTTCGGGGATGTCCCAGCCAGGCCCCTTCTGCCGCATTACTCTGATGGTCCATTCCAGTCTTGAGGTGCTGATGCGGTGGCGCGGTGGAATTGTTTGCCATTAGCAAACCTCGCATAGGAGTTGGAAAACATAGAAAAATATGATAAACATCCATGAAGCTAGTCGCAAACTACTTTTCTAGTTTTTTGGGGTTACTACAATTTATAAGATTTTCGTTTCTAGGAAGTTCACGAACACGGCTTGCTGCAAGTCTTGAATTATTTAGTTTGATGATATTATCCCATTTACAGTATAGATACCCATTTACTTGTAGGATTTCTCATTGCCAGCCATGTTTGATGACACCGGAGCGGAGGATATCATTGCTATATCCGCATCATATCCCCATTGTATCTCGAAGGTTAAATCATGTCAAATTCCATGATATAAATCCCCAGTGAATCCCAAGCTAATCATCTCCTCTTTAGTATGATCATAACTTAGAAAGAAAATATAAAAGTCTACAAAATTTCATTTATCCATTACTGTAAATAATATCAACATGCATTAACCATGAATGGCTTCCACGGCCACGGGTTTGCGTTTAGGCGGTGGGACTCACAGCTGCGGTGGCCAAGGCCTTGAGCGATGCAAACCTCAGTGGCTTAGCGGAAACATGCGGACGGGAATGGGAATCCATGGTGAAAAAGCCATGTTGATTGATGATTCCCAGCAAGAATGGAGATTTCACCTTCATCATTTTAGAATATTAAAAACATGGATCTCACCATCACTGATGGACTTCGATGTGCTTGTGTTTTGGATTTTAATCATGAAAAGATTGGGCATAGATGTGATAAATGCCGGTTCATTGATGTTTATTTCGTCATTTAGTAGGGGTGTTAACATGTTTTAACCATCAAAGTATGGGGATATAAGTGGATATAACTGATACATGATGGTTAGTTGATGATTAGTTCGGGGACTAGCCGCTAGCCAATTTTTGCGGTATTGGGGATGATCTCAATTCTCCCAGGATCAATGGGGCTTAGCTTGGCTTAAATGGGCTAGAAGAATGTAAGATACGGGATATATTTCCGGGGATCTGATGAAAAAATGATCTGGGTCAAACCTTTTTTTGACATTGGGAATCATTCCATCTGATAATCGGGAATCATTCTTTGACACATACAAATCGTTTATATTTCTATCACATTCCAATGTACGTAACGACCTCATTGATGGGATAGTGAACTAATGATGCTGGACATCGTGATGCATTTTTTTCTCAGGGGCAAACAACAGCTTTAACTTTATGTTTGATGGCTTAAGGACTTGTTGTTTCTTCGGATTTCTGCGTATGATAAACCGATCCAGTCAAAACTGGTGATTTCATTGTTTCTTTGACGATCAATCTGAGGATATGTGACATGGATTAGTTGGGGAACAATGCAAGAACTACCCACAAAAGCCATGAGGGGTGAAGTTGAATAATGTGGTTAAAACAAGAAGAAACCATTCCCAAGTTTACCATTCTTATGGGTCCCCCAAACTTACCATCTTTTATGGGTGGTATAAATCATCAATCATGGGATGGTTTATTATTGTATTAACCGCATGAAGTTGGCATACAAGCTGCCGGAATATGCTTCCTTTGATAGTTGGTCAAGATCACTGAGTTGTCTTGTGTGACATGTCAGCAAGTTTGGTTGGTGAAACCATCAGCGTATCTTGGATTATCTTGATATATCCGTGCAGATTTGTTGGTAATATGCGTATCTATGTCTATTATATATTTCTATATTTTTCTATACTTATACCTATATATGTATACCTATATCTAAGTCGAAAACCAAATCTAAATCTCCATAGTATGTATATCTATAGATTCTTTGTTTATATCTAGTTCAACAATGTTCAACATTCAGAAGCAGTGGAAATGGACTCATGGCTGTCTATACCTATATGTATTAATCTATGTGAAGATTATTTCTTAATCATGTGCTATTTCCCCATCTCCCCACCTGCATGATGTCACTATGTTTGTTGCTGACTTGCCAGCTCACTCTGTCCGTGTTTGAGCAGGTGCCAATGTGGTTGCTGCATTCCACCATGACCACATCTATGTGCCGGCTCCGGAGGCTTTCTTATTCCAAAGGATGAGGGCAATTGGGAAACCGTTTGAGAAACCAACTAGTGTTTCATGAGATGGGATAGGTATATTTTTCATGGCTCTCTTCTCTTCTTTTCCTCAGAAACAGTGATGTACCAGCTATAAATGGGACGGCATGATGTAAACTGCGGGATTTGAGGGGAATTTAAGGAGGATCTTAAAAGTCATCTAGTTATGGATATTCAAAGGTGGTGACACCAAACACGACCTGATGTTTACAGTGAAGAATCGGTGCATGGTGCAGGATGATCCCTTGAATGGATGGAGATACTCGCCAGATCGCTCCATTCTTTGCATGAAACCATGTGGAAAACCTAAAGATAAACTATCCAGAAGGACTCACCATAAATGGTCGACTAAAAAAAACAAACATCCCCAATTGGGTTTATGACATAGTTCATAGTTCCATTATTTGATGTGCTGTTTGAACTTGCGTGATTGGAGCCATGATTTGAACATTTAGTTCCCTCTTCGTATGCCAAGCCCGTCATGCGATCAGAACCAGGCCCCACGCGCTGTGGAGGTCCTGAAAAGCCTGGCAGAGAAAAGACTCTGTGATGTTCAGCAGCTGGCAGATGACCTGGGTAAATTATAACGACCTCACTGTTCTCCCTCACTGATCTTCACTGGACATTCATGGTTAGAAATGAGAATTATCCCAGAGAAGCCTTATTTCAGGTTAGTGAATTATTATTATTTACCCAGATTGATGAATATTCATTGAATATTATTGGAGCCCTGTGAACTCTCAAGTTCCCCAAGACAGGGCGAGGTAGCACGGCCGAGGGGCCATGGTGGCACGGCAGGCTAATGTATGACAGGACCTGCCCGACAGAAAGCAGATGATGCCGTGCGAGAAGCCTGCTACCGCCGTTCAAAAGGCAAACCTAAAGCACAGAGGAAACATCCAATTGCCAAACCCTGCAACCCAGATGTGGGGTGCCCTAGTCATGCTGATGATAAGCCACATCCTCAGTTGCCGCCACCCTCCACCTTTGATTCCTTGCCAATGTGGCGAGTGGGAACATACAATGCCATGTCTATGGTCCGGATGGGCCGCTGGGATGTGCTGTCGCGAGAAATGCAAACAGTGGATGCTGTGGGAGTCCAAGGGTTGTGTAGCCGGGCAGAGCAAGACTTTCCATGCAGCTACTTCCGGAGTTCGCAGCATCATGTTTTTCAGTGGGGGTACGGAAGCGGCGTGTTTTCCAACAAATCATGTGGGGTGGCACTCATGCTCAAACACCAGAAGTTTCGTTTGCATCACATCAGACAAATTTATTCGCCTCCAGACTGCTTGGCAGGTCGCGCCGGCGCCTTGCGCCTCAAGGGCGCGCGTGCAGATTTTTTGCTGGTTGTGGGATATGTGCCAGTGGAGCCCAGCAATCAAGCGCAACGGCGTGGAGTCCATGCATTGTTTTCCTGGCTGGATCGCCTCTTGTCGGATGCTCCAGTGCGGACAGTTCCTGTTCTGTTACTGGATGCCAACGGCCGGACAGGGCTACACAGAGCAGGCCCAGGGCCGTGGCAAGTACTGCCAGGCAATGATGCTGCGGTGGGTGCATGGGGTGCCGAGGTGGAAAACTACAACGGCTCCAAGCTACACGAGTTCATGTTGCAACATCATTTGGCAGCAACCAACACTCACGACAGGCACGGATGTGGCAAAACGTTTCATGGCGCCCACCATGCCTCTCGTATTGACTATGTCTTGGTTCCTGCTGGTCTCTTGCCACATGTCTGCAAAGTTCGAGTTTGGTATCGGAGTGCCTTTCGCCTGCAGCTGGTTGACAGCCCTGCACTCCGGGACCATTGCCCAGTGGTTGCTGACTTTCGGTACGAGATCCACTTTGATCACAAAGTTTCGGAGCAAAGATGGGACTTTTCGAAGTTGGCCGCAGCCATCCAAGGCTCTGATTGCAAAACGCAATTCCTTCAAGAAGCCGAACGTGGGTTGCAGCAGGTTCAACTCCAGCAAAATGGAACAGCTCCACACACTGTGGCTGCTGCCTGGCGACAGCTCAACAATGTGGTGTGCTCAACAGCGCAGAAGCACTTTCAGCTTGCGCCGCCTGGCCGCGCTCGCAAACCAGCTGATACAGTTCACGCTGCTGAACAGGCATTGGCGGCCAGACTGCGCTACCGAGATGCAGTGCAGAGCTCGCAACATTCCCCAAGAGACATTCTGCCACAGCGTTTTTACTGGCGTGTGTGGATGGCCCATGTGCGTTTTGTGCAATTGCAACGGCAAGCAAAACGGCTCTGCCGCCGGGACAAAAGAGCACGTCGCTCTGAGTTGGTGGAACAACTGGCGTCTGCGGCTCGCCGGAGCGATTTGGCTCTGCAATGGAAATTGGCTTACCAGCTGGCTGGGGGCAGCCACGGGCCCAAAAAGCGGCGCTACAACATGCCGCAGAGGTTCCGCCCTACAGCTTCTGAATGGGTGGAAGAGTTGGTGCAATCCGGCCCTGCAGGTGGTTGTTCAGCTCGCACACTCAACGCATTTTCCACAAGCGAAGTGGTTTCTGGAATGGATGTGGGCACAGCCACCTTGGGTTCTTTTGCTGATTACAATGGCTCACCAATGTCCATCCCTCCGGTGCAAGTTGAGGTCCATGCTGAAACTTTGGCCAACGAAGATTTTGCGGGTCTTTGCGCAAGTGTTCGCAGCCTGCGGCGTGGCCGCTCGGTGCCGGAGTGGAGTGCTCCTGCGGAAGTTTGGCGACTCCTTCTATTTCCTGCAGAGCATCTCTCCCAGGGGCACACTTTGCCTCCTGGCACGCATGGCAGTTGTGAAGGGTTGCTGCGCACCTTGCTCTATTTGGTGCGACGCAATCAAGAAGTGCCTTGGCTATGGAATCTTTCTTCACCAGTTGAGCTTGACAAGTCGAATGGGAAACGCGGGTGTGCAGGCAAGCGCCTCATTCACAAGCTGGATCCGATTGGGAAAAGTTTTTTACACATGCTCTGGACTCGGCAAGGCGATGTTGCCAGACACTATGCATGCGGCTTTTTGCGCCACAGACGCAGGGAGCAGGCAATACTGCAACAACGGTCTCTCAACTGGAAATTGCAGAAAACTGGCCAGAGCCGGGTTAGTGTGCTCTATGATGTCAAAAACGCGTTTCCATCACCATCGCACGCAAGCTTGGACCTGGCTGTTTGTTCCAATTGCCGACCTGCGGACGCAAATTTGCTTTGCTTGCGCCACCGTGCTGCTTTCATTCTGGTGCGCGACCCTTTCAAACCTGAATTTACAGTGGTTCAGATTGGTTGTGGCAACTTGCAAGGTGACCGGGTGGCTCCGTCTCAATTTTTGGCGGTATACCACCCTGCTCTGGACGAGTGGAATGACAGATGCAGGCGCATGGAGCATGGTGGTCAGTTTGTACTTCGGGACCCTGTTTCTGGCTTGCAAGTGGACACAGCGCTCAGCACATTTGCAGATGACGTTGCTAGAACTCATGTGGTTCCTCGCATTGCTGATTTTTCACCCACCATGCAAACCTTGGACTCGCATTTTGATGCGTGCTTGGGTCGGCTTCACATGGGCCAAAACCATGACAAAAAAGAGCTTTTGGTCCGCCTTATGGGCAAAGGGGCCCAGCTGGCAATGCAGCGCATTTACCACGGACACATACAAGTTCGTGGCCGCTGCCAAAGAGTGTGCAAATACTTGGGCAGTCTCCTTCACCATTCTGGAGCCACATCCCCTGAAGTCTCCAATCGCATTGCTGTGGCCAAGCGAAATTGGGCAATCATGCGCAAGTTTTGGTTCACGCGCGGGGTTGCTGCATCTCAACGGCGGTTGGTCTTCTTGGCTATGGTGGTGTCTCCTTTGTACTCAGGTATTGAAACTCTGCAGACTCATGATGGTGACAATGTCCGACTTGGAAGAGTGCTTGCCGCTCTGGCTCGAAAATTTTGCCAAGGACGTGCCTGCCTCAAGCCACACGAAGATGCTCACGGCCACCATCGCAGCTTGTCAAATTCGGCTGTGTTTGAACTTTTGCAAATCTTTCCGCCTGCCTGGGAGCGCCGAGCCCGCCGTCTTCTCTGGTGGCAAAGCATCGCCCGGCACCCTGGCGACAATGTGTCGCTACTGGCCACAGTTTTTGGACAATATGGCTGGGAAAATGGGCCGCCTATTGGGGTGGATGGGAGAGTCACTGCTCTTGCAAACCCATGGCTGCGGGAACTGGTGGAAGATTTGGACAAGTTGGGTGAGCCAAATTTGGTGGCTGACCAGCCACTGTCGATTTTTTTCATCCTTGCAAAGATTTGTTTGTCAATCTTCCTATCAGGACCCTGCTGGTGCGTAAATACAGAGAGGAGTTGGCAGCGCTTGGACTTGCGCCAGTGGAGAATGCAGATGAGGTGGCGCCTGTGGGTCCGGCTCCACTTCGTTGTGACTGGATTGGTGCAGATGGGGCACAGTGTGGCTACACCGCGCAATCCACAACGGCCCTTTCCACACACAGACATCGCCTTCATGGTGTGCGCATCACTGCACGACAAATTGTGGTTTGCAATCAGTGCCCGTGGTGTCGTAGGATCTTTGCTTCCGTTGAGATTGCCAAACGTCATGCTCATGCCCGTGTCAAAAAAGGGCACTGCCCTCGACAAGGGGGGAATGCTGCTGGCATGGTGGAGCAATTGCGTCCCCCTCCAACTTTTCGATGTCCAGTCTGTCCTCATGAAGCAGTTGATTTGGAAACCTTGCAGACACATGTGGTGGGCCACGTCCCCGCTGGCCAACATGTTTTGCACCAGTACCTCATTGCGGCTCAGCAGTAGTTGGAAAGTAGAGACCGAGCCTTCAGCCATGGACTCTTGGTTCGGCGCCGCCCCCAATGGTGCAGGTGCTGAACGGCAGGTGCGACCTCGCACCGGCCGAAGCTCCAAGGACAATGAGCAGCTCTTGACTGCTGTGGCTCGCCTGACGTTGAAGAACGCAGGTCTGCCGCAACCTTGAAAGTGCAGTTTTTGTCACCTATATCCTGGCCAAGGAGGGTGCGTATGCTCAGGCTGCTTCGGCCGCCGGCCAGACATATGCGCAGAGAGCTCGCGCTGCGGGAAAGAATCACACCCTGGGACAGCCGTCTTCGTGGGTATGGGCTGCTTTGACCCAAGCCGCCTTGAAAGACGAAGCCCTGTCTGAGGAGAAGCGTGCCATGGTGAAGCAACATTGTGATTCTGTCACCGATCCGGCTGTGCTGAGCGATCAGGTCCTCTACTGTCGAGTGTCCAAAGTATATGACCAGACCAAGGTTCGTCTCCAGATCTCGGTCGCTCCAGGTGCTCTGAGTGATGTGCTGACTGTCTTGCAGGATGGCATGGAAAAAAGTGGAGGTTTGCGCAAAGATGGCCCAGCTCCTCGTGGTGCACTTGAAAGACAGATTCAAGAGATTATAGGTGAACCCGGCGTTGAGTGATGACCACCACCTTTTGAGCGGGCAGTGAGGCAGATTGATTTTCCATACTTTTGTGCTCGGGTGCTGCTGGGCATCCTTGCTTTTCAGTTCTTGATTTTCCGATCTCACTCTAGGTGCAGTGTTCTTGTGCGGCATCCGATTAACACTATGTCGGGTGCGCTGGATCCCCAGGCACGGTGTGAAGCACCCTGTCTGGCGCTCCGTTGGCGCCAGCGCGGCCAGGTGGATCACGGCCGACTGAGGTCTTGTTCCATTGTAAGTGCCTGCTTGTGCCTCGCCGTGGAGCTAGGTTTCACTCAGGTGCGGCAGAGATGGAGCTCCGAAGGCGCAGTGAAGTGAAGTGAAGTGAATATTATTGGGATACGGTGGATGGAAGAAATCCTGCACCGTTATTTATAGGGTTTCAGCCATCCGGTTGGTGGTGCAGGATTTCTTCCATCCACAGTATTAACGGGATATACATATGAGTCACCGGCAAAATTATTGCAATACTACTTTAGTTCTGCTTCGCCTTAGTTTGCTTAGAGGTGTGCAAAACCTTCATTACCTATAGGGGACGGCTCTATACCGAGACTCCTGTGAACGCACAAATCGATTTGTGACGACCCTAATTTTGTATGGCATGAGAACGGACAAGTAATTTCGTCCACATTTCGTACATACATATGTATATATATATATATATATGTATATACATTAAAGGGCTGCCGCTCCTGCCGCCAACCCCGGAAAACAAGAAAACGCTGCTTTTGTTGTCCGGTCTTGCTAGCTGGCCTGCCGGCTGGTTTGCTTGCTGGTCTCTGTCCAGTACGGCTGCGGCTCCAAAAATCGAATCACTCCCAGCGGCAAATCCCCATGGCAGTGAAGGATGCAGAAGCGGCAAAAGTGCGCCTAAAAACTGCCCAACGTAACGTCTGAATTTCGTTCTGTATAAAAGCCAGAAAGCTGGTCTTGCTTGCTGCTTTTGTTTGCTAGTCTTGCTTGCTGGTCCTGTTGGCTGGTTTGTTTGCTGGTCTTGTTCCTGCACTGCGTCGAAACTCCAAAATTGCGCCTTCTTGTCGTTCTTGTGGTTGTTATGGTTGTTGTGGTTGCTGTTGTGGTTGCGGTTTTCCTCGCTGTTGAGGGGTCAAGACTCCTATTCCTTGGCGCGCTCCCCTTTGCTTGGCCGGGGTTGGCGGATTATTCTGGATGCCACAAGTGGGAAAAAGGAAGTATCATGAAGTATCGACATGTATAAGTGGGGGTCAAACAACGAAAGGTTTTGAACTGGATGGTTTCAAAGATGCTGCACTAGTACAGTATATAGTGGGGTTGTTGAGGGTGAATGTTGAAAAAGTCTCGAACAAGAACCCTGCTAGAACTAAATATAGAAATGGACAGTTTTGTTAAGATGGCTTTGCCACAGTTGTTACCACCAGGAGCATCAGGACATCAGACATTCTGAGGGCAGAGTTCAGTGCTTGGCAAACATCACACGCATATACGCAAAATGGAACGCAGGTATGCAATGCCTGCACCGCGTTGGCCTTAGTTTGTCGCGTTGCGCGGCGGGCAAACCAATGCTTGGCACCACTGCGAGAACGCGAGGCACGCCAGCGACAAAAAGTAATCCTATAGACGAAGTTTGGTCCGAAATCATGCACGGACGGTGCAAAGCGCAAACAACAAGTCAGCCACGGCCGAACCATTGCAAGAACCTGAACAGGGCGCACCATGTCCACCTATACAAGCACTCCCAAAACAACTGCACGGCTCGTCTATGAATACACATGTCCATTTTGCAACAACACTGGGCGCAGCCCAGTGTAAACTGGAGTCATGAATCACCGTTCTGCCTGTGGACATCAATTTCGCGCGCACGGCGGATCTGTTGCTCACCCTCTCTACGAACATGCGCGCCCTACTTGTGGCACCACTGTGAAAACATTCCAGGCGGCAGGAAGAATTCGAGTAAAACACTAAACGCCAGCGGGCAAGACATGTCGCCGAGACAGATGGCAAGCGTAATCACGCTTCTTGTTCCTTGTCTTGCTTTCTAGCGTCTTGCTCCACCTCGCTGCTTGCTTTCTGCTTTCGTTTGCTCTTAAATCTTGCTTCCAAATTGCAGCCATCAAGCTTCCAAATCTTTGCTCCGTAACACCGAAGCAAAGCCTTGGGACCGAAACACCATGGAACTAAAGGACGGACGGAGCCTTCGGCTGGCACCTGTGCCTAACGTTGGTTTCTGAAAGGACAAAAAACTACTGATAGCACCAACTCCAGCGTGTAAGTCCCTAGCTCATACCCTTAACTGCAGGGGTGGGGTAGTGGCCCGCCTGTCCGCCTAGTGTTGCGCCCGGGTCTGATGCATGAGGGATTCCACTAGACCATACCGGCCCTCGCTCCAAATTCCAGCTAGCAAGCCTCCAAAACCTTGGCCTCGCAGCACCGAAACACCATGAAACTGAAGGGCGGACGGGGGGTTTAGAGCCAGGCTAGTGCCTAACGTCGCTTTCTAAAGCCAATAGAAAACTTCTCTGATGGCACCCGGCTGATGGTGAAAGTATTGCACTGGGCCGGAAGGCTAAAGGCTGCAAAAGACCAAAGGAGCGCAAAGGACGGGTGTTTACCCTCAGGTAATCAGGCAGGGCACTTGGAAATCCCCAAAGGAAATGGAGGTTTCAGATTGAAATCCCGTAAACATGGAGATCTTAACGGGAAAATCATTTAGAACGTTTGATTACCAGACAGTAACCTTATTTTGGTATCCCATTTGGTCCACCCGGTCCATTGTAGAAAAACCAGAACATGATTTTGCGGCATGGACTATTTGAATGTGCATCCATATAAGTAACTTGTTCATCAATGTTAGTCACCCAAATGTACTAAGCATGTATACCTCTATAATCATACATATATATATACACGTATCTATCTATCTATCTATCTGTCTGTCTATCTATCTATCTATCTACCTATCTACCTGTCTACCTATCTATCTATCTATCTAATCTAATCTAATCTAATCTAATCTAATCTATTCTATCTATCTATCTATCTATCTATCTATCTCTCTATCTCTCTATCTCTCTATCTATCTATCTAATCTATCTAATCTATCTAATCTATCTAATCTATCTAATCTATCTAATCTATCTAATCTATCTAATCTATCTAATCTATCTAATCTCTCTAATCTATCTAATCTATCTAATCTATCTAATCTATCTAATCTATCTAATCTATCTAATCTATCTAATCTATCTAATCTATCTAATCTATCTAATCTATCTAATCTATCAATCTATCTAATCTATCTAATCTATCTAATCTATCTAATCTATCTAATCTATCTAATCTAATCTAATCTAATCTAATCTAATCTAATCTAATCTAATCTATCTATCTATCTATCTAGTGTGAATATTCCAGATGGCAAACTGGATTCTAACCATGTTTAATGATGCGCTGAAACCGCAGACGTAGAGCCTCTTTCGGCGACAAGTCATGAATGAAACGCCGAGAACAGCAATGGCATGCGACAGCCACAAAAGACACAGCCTGAAAGAGCTGCGAACGTGAAGGCAGGCTAAACTAAGTCTGGGTAGTTTTGTTCCCAAATTGTTTTTGTTCCCAACTGACTGGGTCAAAATTTTGAGAACTTGTTCCCAAAAGAGCAGACTTTGGCAATCTTTAATGTTTAACTGCCAGGACTTTGGAAGCCACAGCAAACCAGAAGCGCCCAAACCGTCAAATATTGAAAGTGCTTGAATTTGTATGGAAACCACTTCAACCAATGAAGGCAGGAAAACCATGATTCCTTTAACTTCGGGGATCGTTTTGAGGAGAGCGGCAACCATATTTTGACTGATTCATTTCATTGCTGCACCCCGTCCGTTGGTCCATCGACCCGCGGTTGCGGGGTTGATCTGGGCCGGGAGTCTGGGAGCCCGGATCTCTTGGGTATGTCCGTTTCTAGTTTTTATCATCATTTCCCCCATCACCATTTGCGGTATACCCTATTTTTTTGACAACTTCTGATGTGTATTGATTTGGATACTTGTTACATATTGTTACATCACCAACTGAAGGATTAGGGCTTGGACATCTGCAAAGTGGGTGCTAGTGGCATTTCTACGCCCGATTGAAAACCCGCAGATAAAATATTATGGGGTTTAACCACTGAAGGATTAGGGCTTGGACATCTGCAAAGTGGGTGCTAGTGGCATTTCTACGCCCGATTGAAAACCCGCAGATAAAATATTATGGGGTTTAACCAGCCTTTGACCAACCTCTGCTAGGGGGCTAGCAACCATCTTGATATTTTTTGGGGCCACAATTTCTATCCATCCATAATTAGATATCGATGCACAGGTTCGTGGCAACTTGTTACACACCGTGTGACTGTGTGCATATATATATATAATACATACACTACACTATTGAATTATTGTATGTACACATATACATGTTACATGTACTATGTATATACGGCTGCTAGTCAAAATGTACAGACCCGATCCATACCCTGAACCCACAGGCCGATCCATACCCCCGATCCATACCAAAACGCAGGTGATCCAGACCGATCCATACGTCTGGATCACCACGGGCCGATCCATGCCCGAATTTTGACGCAACCCCATATGTATGCAGTATATACATATATACATTTCTTTGACGACTGGGTTCAGAAGGTCTGGATTTTCACCCATTTCCCGACTCTGAGGGGGATGGCATCTGACGATGAACTCTGGGATGCTCTGGAAGAAGAGGATGGTAAGGCGACAGCTGGGAACTTCACCTAGGAAATGTGCTTTTTACCGGACAATTCTAGAAAACATGGGAAAATGAGACAATTTCAAAGGTTTTGTGTGATTGGGGGTAACAAAGGTGCTTTTTGCATGTTCCATTCCAACTAGGTCCCATTCAATTGAAAACGACGATATCGACATGACTGGTGTTTTCCGATATTCCAAACAACGACCCCAAACCACCAGCCATTGGTAATGTGGATGGATAAATCAACCTGACCTTAATTATCCTCCAGATTCCTCCGGCAAACGTGGCAACTGGAAATCCCCCCATTGATGATTTTCTCACGTAACCCTCCATTTATAAAGGATTTTTGAGCTAGCCTCGTTTGATTACCAGAGGGTATCCTAAACCAGCAAACCACGTCATTTGTCTCGGCCTGGTGCTGTGGCTCAAGGGACTATATCCGGCTGGGTCAGGTGTTTCGTTGACCGGTCGCTGTGGTGCTCGCAGAAACAAAAAGATGGCGGGCAAAAGCAGAAGGACGGAGGATCATCCCCTGGAATGGCCAACGATTGGTGAACTATGGTGATATAATCATCCAGATGTTTGATTTACTATGATTTACCACATGTGTTATATATAAATATATAATATATTAATTCTATATAATATATCCAGCGACCGATCTATCTATCTATCTACCTACCTACCTATCTACCTATCTACCTATCTACCTATCTACCTATCTACCAATCTTCCTACCTACCTATCTATCTATCTACCTATCTATCTATCTATCGATCGATCTATCTATCTACCTACCTATCTACCTATCTACCAATCTACCTATCTACATATCTACCTACCTACCTATCTACCTATCTACCTATCTATCTTTCTATCTATCTTTCTATCTATCTTTCTATCTATGTCTATCTATGTCTATCTATGTCTATCTATGTCTATCTATGTCTATCTATGTCTATCTATGTCTATCTATGTCTATCTATGTCTTTCTATGTCTACCTATGTCTATCTATCTATCTATCTATCTATCTATCTATCTATCTATCTATCTATCTATCTGTATATATATATAATTTTTCTATCTACACTATAGATATAATATACGTATAGACCTCTTTTGATGACTGGCAACCGACAAGTCCTTTGTCGTCCTTTGTAGTCCATCTCTTCTGGGTCTTCTATCTCCGACCAGAAATTCGGAACATCCATATGTTCCCCCGGGACAATGACCTACCAATAGTGGGTTCTCCATAGGCGAATTTCAGTGTGATCTGAGGGATGATCCGAAACCAGGGAAACCGCTTGGTAGTTTGGTTTCGCGTACATTTTTCTGGTGGTGTTTGGTTCCGGAGATGGATGCGAAGATACTGGGGCCGGGAGAATCGCCCTCCTTTGGTTATGCCCTTTTCTTCTATGTTGAGGGGGAAGCCTAGACGTATTTTTCCCAACACCCAGTGGATTTGTTCACGAGACTTTGGAGGACAAAGTTCTTTGCACAGCGGCAACAGCTTCCGTGGCCAGCTCCAGCCACTGCATTGGTGGCATGCATTCTATTCCCCTGCACAGTGGCGCTCAGAGCACTGCAGGTGGGGAAACCCTGTCCCTGTGGTAACGTGGTCGATGGCTGGTGACCTTGACAAAGCCACATGGATTGCCGTTTAAAAAACGAAAGATCGAAGGATGTCCGAGTAAATCCCACAAATCTCATGACATACTACGAAATTCCAATCCAAATGATCCAATCTACAGCCTCATCTCTCCCCAATTCAATCCTCAATTCCCGGTCACCCATGCCACACCCATCCCCTGCAATCCGCATCCATCATCGATCCATCATCTCGAGGCTTGCATCTCTTCGGGCATTATCTCAGTTGTGCAGACGCCCTTGCCGCCGGTGACCTTCCCGTGGATCGCGTGGCCCATTTTGATGATGAGAGCCTTGTGGTTTAGACACTTGGAGGGTGTACCTCGGTGAAATAAGAAGAATTTGGGTTCGGGATAGAGCGAAAGGATGCTATATAGGATCCTTTTTGGTGACAGTAGAGCTTGAGCTTCGTGCTATTCAAATCTATTCAAGTTATCCCCCCATTTGGAGACACACCCTCATATTGCTGGTAATATAATGTAATATATGCTTGTATCTCGCACCACTGTACTATCCATTACTGTATATAAGTACGACATCGCAGTAATTGCACCCCCAGTGTGGTTGATTTAATATGCTTTACCCGTACAACCATTTTAAAGGACACACCCTGGTTCCCTGGTTCCTGCTTGGTGGTTTCTGGTTTCAACCACCCACCAATTATATATCCGTTTTGCAGATATTAAACAATGTTACAACACTAGATGCAATGACAGCATATGTTTAACCATATATATATATATATATTAATTATACATTAATATATATATATATACACATACACATATGTACAGATTGTACAGTGCTGTTTAAGCATATATATATAGGGATATATATATATAGGGATATATATATAATTTAACCATATTGATCCATTTCTACATATATATGAATAGGTACACAGAGTATTTAACTATATAACACCATCTCTTGAACTTCAACGAGGCGTGGTTCACCTCGGCAGCTGTCACCGGGCGCGCCATCGCCGCGGCGGCCTTGCTGGGGGTGCTGGACGGCTGCAGCTCGTCCTTGGATTTCTTCGTGGTACAGGGATGTGGCAACACCGCCACCAGGCAGGAGATGGTGGCTGCTAAAGCCCTGTTGGTTGATAGCCACCAGTGTTGTAATATCAATATATGCTGGAGATAGGGGATTATACAAGCCTTCATATATTGGAGTTGATGATAGGGATTATACTAGGGAATAACATATTTTGTTTTTTTGTTGGAATCCAATAGGACAATTCCATCTAAAACCAGTAACTTGAGTTCGGGGATTCGACTAGGGAATCCCGATGGAAACCAATGGAACAGAGGGATCAGATGGACAATGTTCAGATGAACCTATTTTAATATGTGAGAATCATCTAAAGTTCTAAAGCCACTTTGGTTGATATGATAAACCCAATAGCAAACCATAGGTATGATACGATATTTACTCCGTATCCAACAGTTCATAATTTAATATGATACGGCCAATAGCAACCTACCATTTCGGGATTGTTTATAGCATGCATCTATGGCGATTTAAGGGATGGTTTATGAGATTGGGTCTACCACATTAATAGAATGTTCGAAGCTTGAATGTTATGATGGTTTTGATTGGGATTTATGTTATTTATTCCTGTTTTTAAATGACTTTTATAGCTTCCGGATTTCAATTATAGCCATCGAGATTGGGTTTAACCAATGGTTTCCGCGTTTTATGAAAAATGATCCTCCAAGTCTCATTCTATCGATGAAGTTGGGATTTTTTCAAGGATCATCATCCCAGTCATCCCATCGAAAGTGGCTGTGGCATAATTATCACCGAGGGATTCTCGCAGTTTTTTTGGGCCTTGTTTTAGGGTTGACCCAAGGCGGCCGGGATGATACCCTCAATGACTACCATAGCTATTGAAATGGCCCAGTCGAAGTAGTTGATTTAGCTGTAATTTACTGGTGATTTTCAATATGTTCAATAACCAGATGGTCATCGATTTCCTGAGAAAAAGGGTTTGGGGGGGAATTTCTTCGAAAAAAATCGATGTTCTAGTCGATCTTGGGATCCTCCAGGTAGAGGACAGTCACATGGGGAGGCTTTAGCCTATCCGAACTGTCCGTTGAAAATCTGCGTTCGCCATAATTTTTTTGGTTCCCAAATAGAGTCGTTACTTCATATTGTTTACATGTGTTTACCATATCCCACAAAACATCTCCATGATAGTTGATGAGAAATCCCGATAGAAACATCGCCATGGCCATGGCCACCAGCTCCCAAAAAATTGCCGCCTCGCAGGCAGGGTATCGTCCTGGCCATTCTTCGTGCGCTGGACATTCCGTTGGCCGCGGGATTCTCTGCAGTGATGATCGCATATCAAGCAAAATTGTCATATCCAGCGACAGCTGCTTTTCACAGAGATGGACCCGGTAGAACCTGGGGAACCTGGTAGAGCTGGTAGAGGGAAGAATGGCCAGGACCATTTCCATCAATTTCCTATAGATCTTTACCCATTTGTCCCCCTTTTCTGCGTTGAAACCTGTTGGGAGCTGTGATCCCAGACAGTAACCCAGCTGTGGGGCCCTCGGCTTGTTCATCACAGTTCATTGAGAAAAATGACTCAAAACCGGACCTGAAACCGAGAAATGGATGGTATCCGCATGTAAAACATCACCTGACCCAACATGAATCCCCGTATGGATCTCATGCAGTCTTCAGTCCATCACTTTTCCAATGATTTTGTTTACATCTTTCTCAGACCAAAAATCATGATCGATAAGCAATAACCATCATATATCAATCATATCGTATAACATTCTATCCATCTCCATGCAGTTTTAATGTTTAAAATGTTTAAATCAAACTCACTCATGTTAACTCCTTTTTTTTGACAATTCTTCATGTCGAATCATGTTAAATCCTGGAATTGACAGCTCCAGGTTACCAACGCAGTGCTCTTCTCCCTTCCCACTGCTTTCGGCCTTGCCTCGGCCTCGATCCTCGCCTCCTTCGGCGAAGATCTCAGCGTCCCCACAGCCTTTTCGACGAAGAGCTGCGGCGAGAATCTGCTCTTTGCAGCCGTGGCGGCGGCGGCGCTGTGTCGGGCGTTTAGGCGGGCAAAGTGTTGGGGAACCTGTGGGGAAGTTGGGTTTCTTAGAATGATGGCGTCTAATGATTTCCAATGTGTAATCAACTTTAACTATAATATATACGTACGTATATGTATAATTATATACATATGTGCATATAATATGATATAATATGTATATTCATTAAGTTCGCACAATTTGAGGAACTTGGGTGGTAGTTTGGGGAGGTGACGTGAGGAAATGCATGGAAATTGGGGGGTACTTATGGCACTTCTGCCTCAAAATTGGACAATCACGGAAATTGTTGTTTGTTGTTTCTTTTTTCTGTCGATTTTTGTGAGACATCCCCAAATTACGGAAATATACTATACTAAAAACATCCAAACGCATACAAGAAATCATGGGGCTCTTGAAATGTGTAAACAATTTGGGGAGAATCAAAATTACTTTGACTAAGAATTTGATGTTTTGGTACAAGACATTGCCCAAAATGTGCGTCCAATTCAACTGACCCGTCGAATTATAGGATTCCCCACTTCAGGCTGCATCTAAGTTTTGACACTCGAAAAATCCATTTTGTCTTCAAGTGATGTTGAAGCAGAAGATTTGTCTGTTTTCCTGGAGAACACAAGACATGGAATCTTGAATATTATTTCCATTTTAGTGTCTTAAAAAAAACCATATTTTATTTACTTCAGGATGATTGTAAAACTGCCCGGTGATCTTTCGGCAGTTTCTTACCTGCAGCTTTTAGGTGCGCAGCTGGGGCATTTCTGCTGCAACGTGCTGGCGTGGAGAACTCGGTGGGTGGTCTATTCTTCGTGGGTGGCTTCAGTGGTTTCTTTGGGTCAATGCTGGTGCTGCCCATGATGTTGGGCCAGAGTCACCTGCCGGATGGATGATAGCCATACACTGAAAAAGTCACCCCAAAAAAAAACAGTAAAAAGAAAAGTAACATCTATATTAGAATAAGCGAAGCATACTTGTCTATCTTTTTTGGGAAGACTATAGATTTTCAGTTGTCTTTGGGTTAAGTGGGGTCTACGATCGTTTTTGTCTGACTAAAAGTTAGTTGCTAAAGACTGGCAGCTCCCAAACCACCAAGGTCATTTGGCTTCTTTCAAGGCGGGCAATTGGAGCGACGTCATCACACCCTTTCCGGCGTTGCCGGGGTTAGACAATGGTGAGCTTTGGAGCTTGGATTTTGCCGTGATGACAGGCCGGTGGTTGTTTGTGAGCCGGGCCTGGTTGGGCTGTTACAAGTGAGTGATATATGTTCAGATGTGTATAGATCAAACCAGTATTGATTATCATAGTAGGGTGTGTGTGTGTGTGTTCAAGATCTATACTGGTAGGAAGAAGAACACACATATACAATTAGGGAACACATTTAAATTGTTTGTAGGCGTCCCCTGTTTCTGCAATTTCTGCCGCTAGGCACGAAGTCACTAGGTGTGCGCTGCGTTTACCCTACGATATTTGCTGTATCTTGTACAGAACGTGTCAAGGATGTACTACATTGCCTGATACCATGCTGCACTGATTGTCCTGATTGCATCTGATTGCCATATTTTCATATATTTTCCCTTCAACTCCCATTTCAACATATTTTTGTTATCTAAGATCATCGATGCGGTCCTCTTTGAAGGGTCTCCATCACGGATATCACGGTGAAAACAAAACGCGACTCGTGGGGATCAACGGAATCAAACTTGCCTCGCTTCAAAAACACCACTTGCCAAAGACGGAGGTTTATAGAATCTGATTATATAATTATATATAATTATATAATTATATATATATATATCATATATATATATAGATATGTATATAACTGTGTATATATATAATTATATCATATATTTGTATATATTTATATATAATACATGGATTTAGGGCCAACGACCATAAGTCGCGAACTAAAACGGCTCTGGCAAAAAACACATATATATATATTATATGATTTGGATGAATTATATCATAGAATCTCCTTACTCATCAATCCATCCAACATCCAACATCAAGATTTTACTTCTCATAATCCATGGTCATCCAAAATTTCCCATTTTTTTTAAAAAAATCCAGGTGCCGTTCTCTTCCTGGGTACTGCAGACACCGTTTCAAGACTCGCGGTGCTTCGGCACTCGGACACGCTGACGGCCGCCTCACTGGATGCGGGGCTGATGCCCCTGGCCACCCTCATGGCACGCGCCTGCGGTGCATCATTCGGGCTTGGTGCCACCCTACCCACGGAGGCGCGGAAAATGCTGCATCAATGACTCATAGATCTTATAGCTTGATACAGACAGATAAACTCGGGTTTTTGTGGTGGATTCTCACTAATTGATAATTGTGGGTGGGAAAATGATTTGACTTGCAAAGTATCAATATAAGATGTGTTTTCGAAGAGAAAAAGGGGACTGGAAGCAGATACAATAATTAGTTAACAACAAATCTAGCAATGCCTGGTCTCCACCGACAATGAGGTATGAGTCTATCAGATAAAAGATGGCGATGGAAACAAAATGAAGCACTATGGACGTTCAAAATTGTTCAGACCTGTGCGCTGTTTTCCAGTTCCCAACATCAAATTATCTTGTTGAAAACCACCAAGTCTTGTT